TGGCACTGTTGAGAGGAGATTGTATCATGAAGACAGTAACTTCAAACTGAATAGTAATTGGGTGGGGCTTACCTAAAGGACGTGGATCTTTGGGGGAAATGTGTTTAGGGTGGCTGCTTTTGGGGGAGCATTTTCTTTTGGGCTCTTCCCTGGTTCTCTCTCTCTCTCTCTCTGCTTCCCAGCTTGCCCTTAGGTGAGCTCTATTCCCCTCCATCTGTCCTCAAGATGCTCTGCTTCTCCACATCCTGCAGCAATGGGCCAAGCAACCATAGGCCAAAGCCTCTGAAACAGTGAACCACAAGTCCTTTCCTCCTCCAAGTGGTTTTTCTCAAGTATTCAGTGACAGTGAAGAAAGGCTAACAGATGTTGTCCATGGCTATATACAGAAGCAGTATTCAGTCAGACCAAATTGATCAGTTTTAAAGTCAGCCTAAGGCTGGGAAGGTGGCTCAGTGGTAGAGTGCTTGCCTTGCATGCATGAGACCCGGGGTTCAATTCCTCAGCATCACATAAGCAGAAAAGTCTGGAAGTGGTGCTGTGTCTCAAGTGGTAGAGTGCTAGCCTTGAGCTGAAGAGCTGAGGGACAGCGCCCAGGCCCAGAGTTCAGGCCCCACGACTGACAAAAAAAAAAAAAAAAAGCCTAGACAGGAAACTCCTAAGACTTATACCTCCAATTAACCAGCAAAAAGCCAGAAAAAGAGGCGTGGTTCAAGTGGTAGAGCACTAACCTTGAGCAAAAAAACTCAGGCACAGCATCCAGTCATCTTAAGTCCCAGTACCTGCACAAAAAATAAGTCTCTCTAGAATTAAGTCATTAAGACTATATAGCCAGGCACTGTTTATACAGCCAGGCCTGTAATCCTAGCTACTCAGGAGGCTGAGATGAGGATCCTGATTCAGAGCCAGCTCAGACAGGAAAGTCTGTGACACTCTTTTCTCCAATTAACCACTAGAAAACTAGAAGTAGCACTGTGGCTCATAGTGATAGAGTGCTAGCCTTGAGTAAAAAAGCTCAAGGGCGTAGCCCAGGCCCTGAGTTCAAGCCCCACAACCAGAAAAAAAATAATGACTATATAAATGTCATGCACAAGTGAGTCATATGCTATAGTATGATTATTTTCTTTTCCTGCAAAACCTTTTGCTTCCTGGAAGAGTACAATACTTGCTGTGTTTATTTTTATTTTTATTTCTTAGTGACTAAAATGCCTCCATCTTCCAGTGTGTAAACTGCAGTGAAATCAAAGGCAACAGGTCTTGGTTCCTTAGACTTATTAGCTTTTTATTTATTTATTTATTTTTGGGTCCAGTTGTGGGGCCTGAACTCTGGGCCTGGGCGCTGTCCCTCAGCTCTTCAGCTCAAGGCGAGCGCTCTACCACTTGAGCCACAGCGCCATTTCCAGCTTTTTTCTTTTTGCTTATGTGGTGCTGAGGAATCGAACCCAGGGCCTCATGCATGCAAGGCAAGCGCTCTACTACTGAGCTACCTTCCCAGCCCAAGACTCATTAGCTTTTATGTGTGTGTGTGTGTGTGTGTGTGTGTGTGTGTGTGTGTGTGCATGTGTGCATATGTGTGTGCATACGTAAGTTCATGCATACTGCTATTAGGGCTTGAACTCTCAGGACTCAGGCCTATACTACTTGAGTTATGGATTCCATTTCTGGCTTTTTTTTTTTTTTTGAGGGGGGAGGGTTAACTGGAAATAAGAATCTCAAGGACTTTCCTGCCTGGGCTGAGCCTGAACCATGATCCTCAGATCTCAGCTGCTGAGTAGTAGGATTACAGAGTGAGCCACCAGCACCCAGCTTCATTAGCTTCTTAGTCTTGGGAAGTGAACATTAGATGTTTCTCAGGTGTAATTGGAAAAGAACTTTATATATTGGACTTTTAGGAAATCATATTACTATACTAGACATCATTAAAAAAAGAAAAATACTGTGCTATAAACATGTTATGTAAGCATTTTGTTGAAAATATGGTGTGGTAAAAAAACGTTTTCTCTTCAAGGTAATGAACACATTTGCTTGTGGTTTGGGGCTAAACTATTATGTTCCCTTAAAAAAGTAGTTAAGGCTTAGTAGGAACGTGGCTCGGTGGTAGCCTTGGGTTTGATTCCTCCGTACCACATAAACAAAAAAAGCCAGAAGTGGTGCTGTGTCTCAAGTGGTAGAGTGCTAGCCTGGAGCAAAAGCAGCCCTGAGTTCAAGCCCCAGGACTGGCAAAAAAGTTAAAAATGTGAAATCCAGTTTTGCATGGTAAGAACATTGGGTGTTTTAGATATAATCATATGTATATTCCAGATCCAACCTACTTGAACTTTTAGGATTAAAGCATTTTTAAATTGAATATTTTAAATATTTCAAAATGAAATTAAATACTAATTAACCCATGATTCCCCCACTCCCTTCTAGTTACTTTAGGTAAATAAATGAAGTCAAATTGTAAGACTGGCAGATATTTCTTTTGATTGGATTCCAGGTAGCATTCTAGTTCCATCTCAATTTTTGGGGGAGAGAGGTTGAGGAAAGAATCTTGTTTTAAGCATATATTTAAAACCTCAAATGTATTTGTGATTTTTTTTTCCTTTCAGAAATGTCCTTTTGGCTGGGGATATGACTCAAGTGATAGACTCTGCCTAGCAACTTTGGTTTTTGAGTTCAAAATCCAAAAGTGTCAAAAACAAACACATCTTACGTATAAATTCTCTAGGTGCCTACCACTTCAGCTAACAACTTCATACCTCAAGGTCCAAGAAGTGGGATGGGGGGCTGGGAAGGTGGCTCAGTGGTAGAGCGCTTGCCTTGCATGCCAGAGGCCCTGGATTCAATTCCTCAGCACCACATAAGCAAAAAGAAAGAAACTGGAAGTAGTGCTGTGGCTCAAGTGGTAGAGCGCTAGCCTTGAGCTGAAGAGCTGAGGGACAGCGCCCAGGCCCAGAGTTCAGGCCCCACGACTGGACCCCCCCCCAAAAAAAAAGTGGGATGGGATAGAGTGAAACTGACCAAAAAACCTGAAAATGTCAAAACATCTTGGGAACCTCTTTTCTATGATGAATAGAAACCATATCTTCTTCAGATAATCCACAAATATTAAGCTCTATTAACTGCCAAAGGATTGATTTCTATAACATTCTTCTGAACTTATAGACAACTTACTAAAATATAGTGTGCATTAGCAAATAATTCATTCGGAGCTTTTTTTGTTTTGTCGGTTGTGGGGCCTGAACCCTGGGCCTGAGCACTGTCCCTGAGCTCTTCAGCTCAAGGCTAGTGCTCTACCACTTGAGCCACAGTACCACTTCCAGGCTTTTTCCACTTATGTGGTGCTGAGGAATCGAACCCAGGGCCTCATGCATGAGAGGCAAGCACTCTACCGCTGAGCCACCTTCCCAGTCCTTCGTTTGTAATTTCAAAGTGTCATAATGCATGATTCTTGGTAATCTGTTTGAATCAGAGGAAAAAAAAATATTAGGATAGTTAAGCCCATCAACTATTAAAATTGAACCCAAGAGAAAATTATCCAGAGGGCTGGGAAGGTGGCTCAGTGGTACAGCGCTTGCCTTGCATGCATGAGGCCCTGGGTTCGATTCCTCAGCACCACATAAGCAAAAAGAAAAAAGCCGGAAGTGGCGCTGTGGCTCAAGTGGTAGAGCGCTAGCCTTGAGCTGAAGAGCTGAGGGACAGCGCCCAGGCCCAGAGTTCAGGCCCCATGACCGGACCAAAAAAAAAGAAAATGATCCAGAGTTCAATTGTAAACTATACTTCTTTCCAGAAAGCCAAAAACGACCGAATAGCTGAGCTAGAAAAGAATTTGTCTGTCTTAAAAGAAACTTCTTTTTTGACATTACTTTGGCCTGATTTCTTTAGAAAGTTAGTTTGCTTATGGACTTTGGCCCCTTTCCTTTTCTTGGTTCCATACCTTGAAGGGTCTAGGGAAAGAGAACCCCGACAAGGGCTAGTCTCCCTTTCAGATTCTTGCTGCCTGTGATTATATCAGGACAAACAAGTCTTCACACATAGTCCTCTTATTAAGAAACCACTTTGTCCTCATCTCTCTGGGATGGGAACAAGGTGCGGGAGTATTCCTTTGCATAAGCAGGTGCTTAAAAATCTAAGTCGGAAACGCATTTAACGAAAAAAAAGTAGTCAACTTCTGTAATCTTAATAAAAATCTTCCTTTGCTCCACCACCTTTCCATTGATCGTGTGGAAATCAACAAGAAATACCAAATGAGAAGGGCCTGTTTTTTGTTCTGTTTTGTGTTTTGTTCCAGGACTTGACAGCAGCACTGGGTTTGGTAGACCCAGGCGGGCTAGACCCAGTTCGGAGGTGGAGGGAGAGAGAGAGGCTTCAGGTCGGACTCCTCCGATTGGAGGTTGTTGGCCGGAGGTGGGCTAACTTGAGGCAGATCCTCTCCTGTGATTGGTTTGAAGAGCAAATCTGGCTTTCTCTGATTGGCCCTGAGTTGGAAGTAGCGGGATGGGAGGAATCGAAGCTGCCAGTCACTGACCCAGTCCCGACCATTCTGGGCATGTTGGGCTGAAGTGGTCGGCCGGAGTTCTGTTGTCACCCACGACCTGGCGACCGTCCGTTAGTATTTTCAGTCTCCCAGCCGGGTGTGACTGGATTTTTCCTTTCCCCTGGCCTAGCTAGCCTCTAGCTCTTTTTCCTCCCCATTCCTGTTAGACGTGGAACAAGAGAGCATTTCATTTGCGCACCCACGGAGCCGTTCGGATCTGGGGAGGAGGGGAGCAAAGGCCTGCGTGTGTGGGGTGGGGGTCCGGCGGGAGCAGCGCCTCCCCCTCCGGCTTCCTGCTGCCCACGGCCTCGCCGGCGACTCTCGGAGGGGCGTCCGCGCCCTCTGGGGGAGGTCTGCCCCGCGCGGGCCCGGCTCGGCACCCCTACTCCGTCAGGGGCACCCTCCCGGTTTCCACCTCCCTTCCGCGTGCTCCCCGGGCCCTCCCACCCCCGGTGCCCTCCCGACCTCCCTTCCGGCCCCGCGGTAGCGCGCCGGCGCCTCGGGGCCGCTAGTTCCGCGCGTCCCTGGATGGATGGAGGCGCGCCCGGACGCGTCCCCGGCCCAGCAGTGACCTCCCCGGCCCCGCGGCAGCTGTCAGGTCAGCCGCCCGTCCCCGAGCCCCCCGGCGGGCTCGTCTCGGAACGGGTCCCGGGTCTGGCGTGACCACGACCCTCCGCGGGCCGCCATCGGCCGGGGCTCCCTTTGGAAGGGGTGGGCCAGGCGACTCTCGGCGGCCTCCGTGCCTCCGGCCGCCAGTCCCTTCCGAAAGGGGCCCGGGCCGCCTCCTCGGGCCTGTTCCCGCCCGGGTGCCGCAGTCGGGCGTCGCGGTGTGGCGGCGGCGGCGGCCGAGCCCTCGCCATCTTGCGCGGAGGAGGAGCCGCGGCCGCCGCCATGCGGGGAGGGGGAGGGGACGGAGGGTGGCGGCGGGCGCGGCGCGCAGTCGGCGCTACCGGGCCGCGAGTTCCGCGGCGCCCAGAGAGCCGGCAGCGGCGGCCGGAGGTAGAGGCGGGAGCCGGAGCGTGGGCCGCGGGCGGGCGGGCGGGCGGGCGGGCGCGGCGCCCGGAGCGGCCGGGCGGGGGCGGGGCGGGGGCGGGCGGAGGCCGCGGCGAGGACGGGGTGGGGGGGGCGGAGGTTTCCGAGGAGGAAGGAGCCGCCGCCATTTTGGGAGCTTCGAGTCAACAATAAAGGACCGAGGGCGCCGAGCGGGAGTGGCCTCGGCGGTAGGACTCGGGCCGGCGGCGCGGGGCGTGGGCTGAGGCGGCGGGGCCGAGGTCGGCGGGGCCCTGGGGGTCGCGGGGAGCCCCCCGGGCCGCGTTGGGGGGGGCGTTCCGGGGCGGAGGCCCGAGGCCTTGCCGGGCCCGGGGAGGAGGGCGGGCGGCCGCTGTGGGGGTGGCGGCGTCTGAGGTAGGCAGGTGGGGCGCCGCGGGGTCCGGGCGCCGCGGGGAGCGCCGGGAGCTCGGAGGGGTCTTTGGGACGGGGGTGGGGGGCCGCGGGGCGGCCTGGAGCCGGGGGAGGCGGTGGCGATGGAGGAGGTGATAGGGTGCGGGCGGCCCCTCCGGGCGGCCGCCTGGCTGCTGTAGGCCTCGTGGGCCGGGAAGGGGGGAGGGTTGGCGGAGCCCCCAGTCTGGGGACGGAGGGAGGCGACTGCGGGTGGCGGGGGGCGCTGTCCGGGGCCTGGGAGGGGAGCCCCTTTGTTTGCTCCGGGCAGAGCTGGTTCCGGCTGTTGTGGCGCAGATAGGATTGCGGGGGCTCCAACCCTTTTCGTGCCCGGAGCCGACCCGGAGGGGCGGCCGGGAGGGGCCGCCCCAAGGTCCGGGGTCCCCGTCGTCTCCTCCTCCTCCCTTGGCCCCCTTTTATCCTTCAGAGGAAACCCCCTTTCAGCCCCGAGCCGCGCGAAACGGCGCCGCATTTGCACACAAAAGCTGTAGTTGGAGATGACGAGACGGTTGGGGTGCGAAGCTGTCATGCGAGCTAACGAGGCGCTCGGAAGTGGCGGTAATGAACTCCGCCGGGGCCCTGGCCGCCGCTCCGCCGCCCGAGCTCGCTCGGTGCGTGCGTGTGGAAGTGGAGCTGGCAGCGCCGAACTGGGCAGCGGGAGGCGGAGCGCGTCCCCGGCGGAGACGCGGGCTGCCGGGCAGGTGTCGGTTCAATAAGGAGGGAGGGGTGTCCAGGACTGGGGTCCGACGGCGCAGGGTCGACCCTGCTGGTGCTCTCCGGTAGTCTTTTAGAGAGTGCGCTCTTCCGTAGTGTTTTGCAAACAAGTCCTCCGGTGTGAAGTACGTGCTATTATTATTGGCCATCCTGTAACCCTCCTAAGACGGAAGAGTAGCTGTTAATCAGTCCTGCTCCGGAGGTGGATAACACAGAGGTCAAAGCAAACAGCTTTGTGTATGTGAGCATCAGGATTTGGTTTGGGAGAAAATTGGTGTTCACATTTTTTTCTTTATAAAGGAAGATGTTTCTGGCGGTTTTTGAGATACCAGATATCAGAATTTTGAACTTGAGATGCCTTTGTATGTGGCAAAATAATCACTGATCATAAAGTTACTGTATTTTGGGAAAGCAGTGTACAGGTTGGTTAAATAATAAGCCAAATGGGGAGCTGGGAAGGTGGCTCAGTGGTAGAGCGCTTGCCTTGCGTGCATGAGGCCCTGGGTGTTCGATTCCTCAGCACCACATAACAGAAAAAGCTGGAAGTGGCGCTGTGGCTCAAGTGGTAGAGCGCTAGCCTTGAGCTGAAGAGCTGAGGGACAGCACCCAGACCCAGAGTTCAGGCCCCACGACCGACCAAAAAAAAAAAACCCAAAATATAGTAATAAGCCAAATGGAGTTGGACCTAATCTTTTCTGATGTTTGTCATTTTTTTTGTTTATACAAATTAAGTCGATTGAGGAAACAACTTTAAAATGAAGATTGACCAGTTTTGTTTATTTTTAAAGAACTATTGTTAATTAGATTGAATGTTCTGAGTGCTTAGAAAAGTTATATTATTTTTTGAGTAGTGGTGTTTTAAGTATATGTGTATTTTTTGAAAAATGATGTTTGAAAGTGTCTAATAGTTGTGGCATTCAAGTTTGAAGGCAGCAAAAGTTTTCATCTGTTTTTCAAACAAGGTATTAGACAAGTCATTACTGTATGAGACTGTCGTTTTAATGGACAAAAATTTAAAGGAGGAAAAAATGCCTTTTTTTTCTTCACAATTTAGTTGAAGTCAGATAAGGAAATAGGTGGGTTTTTTGAAAGTACAATGTTTTCAAAAGCTCATTTAGCTTCCAAAGAAAGATTCTTGGTTGCTGTCAGAAATAGAAAAAAAATCAATTTGTCCCACTTTGTCCAAATTTACATTAGTAAGTTGAGTGATATTTCACTGAATTGTAATTAAAGTATAATAAGTCATTGGATTTTAGACCAGGTAGAGATTAGAGGATTCACCAGGGAGGAGACAGAAGGGAGCAGATTGTTATTTGACAAAAATGTTAACTTATGAATCTTTCTACTGAATTGTCTCTAGGTTGCTTTCATAATTTTTTCTTTGTTTCAGATTGAAGTGAGTGAACTCAGATATAATTCAAGCTTGTTGGAGGGCTTTAAAAAAAAAAAATAGGCTGATTCGGTGCATGAGAGCAAGTTACTGCTGCTTACCACCGTCCAGAGACTTACAGGTGCTTGCCTGCATTGCAATAAAGGACTCATCTATTGAGCAAGACTTCTATTTATCTCTTCGTTTTGGAGAGCCTAATAAACTGTTATTACAGTTTCTCTACTGACTTTCAAAGTTTTGAAGTTTGAAAGAGACACCTTTGCAATTAACACAGCATGAGCACGGCCAGAACAGAGAACCCTGTTATAATGGGTCTGTCCAGTCAAAATGGTCAGCTGAGGGGCCCTGTGAAGCCCAGTGGTGGCCCTGGAGGAGGGGGCACACCGACCCAGCAACAGATGAACCAGTTGAAAAACACCAACACAATCAATAATGGCACTCAACAGCAAGCACAGAGTATGACCACCACTATTAAGTAAGTGTTAGACATATTTGAGGAACCAACCAATCAGATTTTTTTTTTGTTTACAGTGAAAAGCAAAACTATTGGTTTAAGGTTTGATCTTTGTTGTTAACTACACATTAATGATTCATGATTCTGATAGAGGTCAGTATTTGTAATAAAATAATGCATTTCTGCCATAACTAATTCAAGTAAGTAATGAACCATAAGCACAGGTAATATATTAACTTTGTCTAGATTATAGAAACAATGCAGGTTTTCATATCTCAGTGTAGAAGTTATTAGTTGAATTTGTTCTAAAATGAATGATATAAGACTCATTTGTGTGTGTGTGCACGAGTGCAAGTGAGCACACACAGGCTGGGGCTTGAACTCAGGGCCTGAAAGCTGTCCTGAGCTTTTGGCCACTCTACCACTTGAGCTATAGCTCCATTTCTGACTCTTGGTGGCTTATTAAAGAGTCAAAGACTTTATTCAAACTGTGATCTTCAGATCTCAGCCTCTAGAGTTCTTAGGATTACAAATGTGAGCCACCAGCACCTGGATTCATCTTATTTTTGTCAGTGCATATTTTCTAGTTATCACCATCACCTCTCTCTTTTTTTCCCTCTCTTACTTGTTTTTTTTGTCGGTAGTGGGCTTGAACCCAGGGCCTTGGATGCTATCCCTTAGCCTTTTCTTGCTGAAGGCTAGTGTTCTACCTACCACTTGAGCCACAGCTCTGCTCCTGCTCTGCTTATTTGACAGTTAACAATTTGAAACCTTAATTTAAAAAGCAAATTTAAAAACTCATTCTTTAAATTAAAAAGTAGGGGGCTAGGAAGGTGGCTCAGTGGTAGAGCGCTTGCCTTGCATGCATGAGGCCCTGGGTTAGATTCCTCAGCACCACATAAGCAAAAAGAAAAAAGCCGGAAGTGGCGCTATGGCTCAAGTTGTAGAGCACTAGCCTTGAGCTGAAGAGCTGAGGGACAGCGCCCAGGCCCAGAGTTCAGGCCCCACAACTGACCCCCCCTCCCCCCCCCCAAAAAAAAATCTTGACTTTATTTTGCAAAGTATGAATAGGCTAGCTGAATTTAGGCTGCTTTTAGTTATTAAGGATGTAAACTACAATTGCTACTGTATTATAGGAATATTTTCCATTAAAAGAAATATAATTTGAGGGCCCGAGGAATGAATCAAATAATAGAGCACCGCACCTGTCTAGCAAGCTCAAGGCCCTGTGTTCAAACCCCAGTCTTGCCAAAAAGAAAATAAATTCTAGCCAGGTGCCGGTGGCTTATGCCTGTAATCGTAGCTACTCAGGAGGCTGAGATTTGAAGATCACAGTTCTAGCCAGCCCGGGCAGGAAATAAACCACCAGAAAATCAGAAGTGGCACTGTGGCCACTGAAGAGCTCAGGGACAGCACCCAGGCCCAGAGTTCAAGCCCCACGACTGACCCCCCCCCCCCCCCCAAAAAAAAAAAATTGTGATTTGAGACACTAGTGGATATTGTTTCTTCTTTGTTTCTTTTCCTGGATTGATTTTTTTTTTTCTTCAGTTCTTTAGATCTTAGTTTATAGGCTACCTCTGCCTTCTAGTTTCTGTCAACTGCCTCAGAACTCATAATACTTAACCACTTCTCATTTAAAATTGTCTTACCTCCTTTTAAGATTATAACTTCCGTTGGGCACTGGTGGTTCACACCTGTAATCCTAGACATTTAGGAGGCTGAGGTTTGAGGATCCTGGTTCAAAGCCAGCCTGGGCAGGAACATCTGTGAGTCTCATCTCCAGTTAACCACCAGAAAATTGGAAGTGGTATTGTGGTTCAAAGTAGTAGAGCATTAGCCTTGAGCATGCCTAGGCCCAGAGTTCAAGCCTGGAAAAAAGAAAAAAAACAAACACATATGGATGGAGGCTGGGAAGGTGGCTCAGTGGTAGAGCGCTTGCCTTGCATGCCTGAGGCCCTGGGTTCGATTCCTCAGTACCACATAAGCAAAAAAGAAAAAAGCCGGAAGTGGCCCTGTGGGTCAAGTGGTAGAGCGCTAACCTTGAGCTGAAGAGCTGAGGGACAGCCCCCAGGCCCAGAGTTGAGGCCCCATGACCGGACCCAAAAACAACAACAACAAAAAAAACATATGGATGATGCAGCCTGACACAAACACAGGTCTTGGAATTGGTAGCAAAGTACTATCTGACTTAGTGGGGTTACATGTCTCTAATCCAGGGCTTTATGGCTATGTAAGTTCTAGATTTAAGTAAAATAAATCTAGGTTTAAGATCTGGGGATTCTGGTAGTGTAAGAATGGCTGCAACGAAATAAATGGAAATTGTTTTAAAGATGACACAGTGAACTAATTGGAAATAATTCCTGGCAGTATTTTCTTTTAAACATTAGATGTTTTGACTTTTTTCTTTTATTGGTTGTGGGGCCTGAGTGCTGTCTTAGGTGTCTCTCTCTTTCTCCCTCTCCCTTTCCCTCTCTCCCTTTCCCTCTCTCCCTCTCCTATCAGTCTCTCCCACCGACCCCCCCCCCCCCCCTCTGCTAGCACTCCATTACTTTGAGCCATGGCTCCGCTTCTGGTTTTTTGGTGGTTAAGTGGAGCTAAGAGTCTCACAGACTTTCCTGCCCAGACTGGATCCAGCCATGATCCTGAAATCTCAGCCCCCTGAATACATTGTAGGCATGAGCCAATGGCACTCAGCTGTTTCTGTTTCTTTTTTTGTTTGTTTTTGAGTGGAATTCTGTTGATAGGCTGTCCTCAAACTCCAGAGTTCAAATGGTCCTTCTACTTTAGCTTCCCAAATATTTGGGACTGTAATTAGGCTACCTTGGTTTTAACTAGTCACCAGAAATGATAAACTTAATATGCCTAGAGGACATTATGCAAGCTACTTGCCGTATTTAAAAGAGGTGGCTGTTTGACTAACCTATAGCAGAAAGCAGTTTAGTGTTAGAGCACTTAGTGTGTGTGTGTGTGTGTGTGTGTGTGTGTGTGTGTGTGTGTGTGTGTGAAGGGGGGGTGAGGTGGGGGGGTGGGCGCCTTGGTTTCGATCCCCAGGCACCACAACAAAGGAGAAAAGTGGAGTTAAAATCTAGTTAGTAATCTCTACTAAGTGTTACCATTCAAAACTTTAGAACATTGTTGCAAATGTGTCCTTTCTTTTTTTCTTTCTTTTTTTAAAGTAAAGACAGTTCTTTAGCTGAACCCAGGATTGTTTCCAGTTTTTCAAGAAAATCCATAATCTAAAGTTTTTCATGAAATCTTAAAATTTTTAAAATTTGGGTGCTGTTTAAAATATACTATCTAGGCCTGGAAAGTTAGCTCAGTAGTAGATTGCTTCCCTCATATACATGAGGCCCTGGGTTCAATTGTTCAGCACCACATAAGCAGGAAAAAAAGCTGGAAGTGATGCTATGGCTCAAATAGTAGGGTGCTAGCCTTGAGCTGAAGAGCTGAGGGTCAGTGCCCAGGCCCAGAGTTCAGTCCCCACGACCCTCCCCCCCCCCAAAAAAAAATACAGTCTCTCTCTCTCTCTCTCTCTCTCTCTCTCTCTAGGTCAAACCATCTTTTGATGAACAGTTGCACTATGCTGTTCTTAAGATGAAGGCCCCAAGAACCCTTCTATCTAGACTTTTTATTTTCCTATGAATACATTCTCTAATGTTTAATTCTTTGGTAACTTTTTTTTCTCTCTCTCTTTTTTTTTTTTTCTCTTCATTTCCTAGAGCTTGAACTCAGAGTCTTGAGCTCTTGCTTGGCTTTTTTGTTACCTCTTGAGCCACACATTCGCTTCTGGCTTTTCTGATTAATTGGAGATAAGAGTCTCATAGTTTGGACTAGCTTGAAATTCTAAGATTCTTAGATCTCAGCTTCCTAAGTAGCTAGGTAGGCATGAGTCACCAGTGTCTAGCTGGTACATTTTTTAATTTTTTGCCAATCATGGACACTGTCCCTGATGTTCTTTTGCTCAAAGCTAGCACTCTACCACTTGAGCCATAGCACTACTTCCGGCTTTTTCTGTTTACGTGGTACTGAGGAATTGAACCCAGGCTTCATGCATGCTAGGCAAGCATTCTACCACTAAGGTAACATTCCCAACCCCTGGTTAACTATATTCTTAAGTGTATGGCAAGATATAAACCTACTCTGCTTTTTCTTTTGTCTGGAATTTATTATTGGGCTGGGAATGTGGCTTAGTGGTAGTGCTTGCCTAGCATGCATGAAGCCCTGCAGTCAATTCCTTAGTACTATATAAACAGAAAAGGCCAGAAGTGACGCTGTGGCTCAAATGGTAGAGTGCTATCCTTGAGCAAAGAAGTGCAGGGACAGTGCCCAGGCCCTAAGTTCAAGTCTCAGAACTGGCAGAAAAAAAAATAACATTACAAAGTGATGTACAGAGGTGTACAGTTATGTAAGTCAGGTATTAGTAACTTTCTTTTTGAACAGTGCCACCGCTTCCCTCGCTTTCTCCCAGTTTTTCCTCTCTAGAACTTAATTATAGGGGCTGGGAAGTTGGCTCAGTGGTAGAGCACTTGCCTTGCATGCCTGAGGCCCTGGGTTCGATTCCTCAGCACCACATAAGCAAAAGGAAAAAAGCCCGAAGTGGTGCTGTGGCTCAAGTGGTGGAGCACTAGCCTTGAGCTGAAGAGCTGAGGGACAGTACCCAGGCCCAGAGTTCAGGCCCCACGACTGGACCCAAAAAAAAAAAAAGAACTTAATTATATTGAGGATGAATCATGTTAAGTAGGAAATTTGATATTTTGTTTACTGTATTCTCTCTAGACCTGGTGATGACTGGAAAAAGACTTTAAAACTCCCTCCAAAGGATCTAAGAATCAAAACTTCGGTAAGTTGGTTGTAGAATTCAAGTAGAAAATGGGAAGTAATGTAATAATGTGTAGCAATCTGTCATAGTAATGATAGACATTGTTCCACTTTTTTGCTTGCTTCTTGCTTTTGGATAATGTCTTCCTATGTAGCTATCCTCTTTTCCAACCTGTATGTGTTTAATATTTTACTCTTTTTTTTTTTTTTTTTGCCAGTCATGGCGCTTGAACTAAGGGCCTGGACTCAGTCCATGAGCTTCTCTGTGCTCAAGGCTAGTGCTCTACCACTTGAGCCACAGTACTACTTCTGGCTTTTTCTGTGGTACTGAGGGCATCATACATGCTAGACAAGCACTCTACCACTAAGCCACATTTGCATCCTACTTTTTTCTTTAACTTATTTTAAAGTAGTTGCATGAAAGGGTTTCAGTTCAACATGTCTATCTTAAGTGTGTAAAAAATTGTATGTTGGTGCCGAGCACCGGTGGCTCACGCCTGTAATCCTAGCTACTCAGGATCTGAGGATCTGAAGATCTGAGGATCACATTTCCATGGTTTCCCTTATTTGCAATAGCTAGTATATGTATGAGTCAAGCGGAAAAGGTCAGATAATGTGATGTTAGGAAAATGAACCCTGAGGATCACATTTCAAAGCCAGCCTGGGAAGGAAAGTCCTTAAGACTCTTATTCCAATAAACCACTGGAAAACAGGAAGTTGTGCTGTGGCTCAAGCGGTAGAGCGCTTGCTTTGAGCTGAAGAGCTGAGGGACAGCCCCAAGCCCAGAGTTCAAGCCCCACAACCAACCAAAAAAAAAAGTTGTATGTTGGATTGCTAACACTTTCTACTATACTTGGGTGGCGTTAAATAGTAATGAAATGTATATCTTAAATGTGTTTATATGTGTGCACATTTTGTTTCCTTGAACTTTTTGTTCCCAGCAACCTACTGATACAGATATTCAGGTTAGGTTTTTATATTATGCCTACATAGTAGAGGAGATAACCCAATATTCTCAGCCTGGGGTGGTTTTGTTTTGTCTCCCAGAATGTATGTTAACAGTAACTAGAGGCATATTTGTTAATCATCTCTGGGTGGATACTAACCTCTTAAAACAGAACTTTCATTGGGCACCAGTGGTTCACACCTGTAATCTTAGCTACTCAGGAGGCTGAGATTGCAGTTCAAAGCCAGTCTAGGCAGGAAAGTCTGAGACTTACCTCCAATTAACTACCAAAAAACTGGAAGTGGAGCTATGGCTCAAGTTGTAAAGTGCTTGCCTTGAACTGAAGAGCTGAGGGACAGTGCTCAGGCCCAGAGTTCAAGCTCCACGACAGACAAAAAACCTAAAAAACAGGACTTTCTGGCCCAGACATATCTCAGTAGTATAATGAACCTGAAAAATCCAGATTAGCCAGGGTTGAATTTATATTTTTAAGATTTAGCGATTTCTAACATGATACTTGTATTTAAAAAAAAACAAGGGGCTGGGAAGGTGGCTCAGTGGTAGAGTACTTGCCTTGCATTCATGAGGCCCTGGGTTCGATTCCTTAGCACCACATAAGCAAAAAGAAAAAAGCCCAAAGTGGCGCTGTGGCTCAAGTGGTGGAGCACTAGCCTTGAGCTGAAGAGCTGAGGGACAGCGCCTAGGCCCAGAGTTCAGGCCCCACAACTGGACCCAAAAAAACAAAAAAAAACAAGGGAGGGGGGGGGGGGGGAGGATGGGAAGGGATGGGAAGGGGAAACAAAGGAGGAGGCTACAATGCTTGATAAGAAATGTACTCATTATCTTGCCCATGTAATTCTAACTCCTCTGTACAGTATTTTCACTTTCAAGTGGCTTGTATTTATTGAAGGAGAATAAGATTTCTCAGGAAAAACTGAAGTACAGATTAAGTTTAAGTATAGATTTAAAAAGGCAGTAGTAATCTGCATATATTTAAGATTTTGTAGTTCTTAGACAGATTTTCTTTTTTCTTTTGCCAATCCTGGGGCTTGAACTCAGGGCCTGAGCTTCTTTGTGCTCAAGGCTAACACTCTACACCTTGGCTTTTTCTAAGTAGTTTATTGTAGATAAGAGTCTTAGGGACTTTCCTGCCTTGGCTGGCTTTGAAGGTATCCTCTCAGATGCCTAAGTAGTTAGGATTACAGGTATGAGCCACCAGCGCCTGGCTTATCCTAGACAAATTTTCTTAAGCATGCTAACTGCTAAAAAAGCCTGGTTATATTTTTTACATTATTGGTTTATTAGGATGTGACATCCACAAAAGGAAATGAGTTTGAAGATTACTGTTTAAAGCGGGAGTTACTGATGGGAATTTTTGAAATGGGCTGGGAAAAGCCATCTCCCATTCAGGTATGTTTACTCTTTTTATTGCTTATATAAGGTTATATTTCATGTATTACAAACTAACTTTTTGGTTTGTGGGAGTGGTATAGCATGTCTCAATGTCCTGTACATACCTGTATACTCACCTTTTCTGAATTTTTAAAGGTTAAGTTACAGAATTGTTTCAGTTTTCTTCAAGTCTCAATGTGTTTTTCCTAAGAATAAGTTTATTTTCGCATAATGAGACAGTTCCCTTTAATCAATGTAACATAAATCCCATGTTTATATCACATCTTTCACTTATATTTACATTGTCTAATTTTTAATTGACTCTTTGTAGTAGTATTTCCCCCTCTACTATAGGGTAATCTCGCTTAGTAGCCAGATTGGGAGCAAGTATTCATGTAATAGGTTTGTTAACTTATTTTATCATGAATGTTTCTCATCTTTTTCTTTTATGACATTGACGTATAACCTCCCCTCTTCCATAGACGATTTATTGTGGGATAGTCTTGATATTTCCATGTAATTAGATTGAAATTACAGTTTCTCAGCCAGAATACTGCAGTAATCATGTTATGGCCTGGTTAGGATTTGAATGGTGTACAGTGTGTCTATCTAGTCTTGATTGGCAATGTTAATTTTGATTACCATGTAAGATATTGTCTGATTTTTCTCTTCTACAAATCCCCTTCCTTGAAACTAACTAGCAGTCTTGGGAACAGTTGAACGTTATGAAAATAACCTATTATTCATAATATCCATCTCTTCTTTGATTCTTACTTGGGTCTCATCTGCTCTGGTGGGTTATATGAGATAAGTTTCTGGCTCTGGTGTACCTCCATATTTGATGCCTATAAAGAAGAGCCCTCCCTTACTACTCCATCCTTACATATCAACTCAGTATCAACTCAGGAACTTTTTTCTTTTTTGTGTCCTGGGACTTGAACTCAGGGTCTGGGCACTGTCCCTAAGCTGCTTTTGTTCATGGCTAGCATCTACCACTTGAGTTGCTGCAGTGCCACTTCCGGCTTTTTCTATTTATGTGGTACTGAGGAATTGAACCCAGGGCTTTATGCAAGTATGCTAGGCAAACATTCTTACCACTAAGCCACATTCTCAGCCCCATGAATTTCTTTTTATTTTATTTTTTGGGTCCCGTCGTGGGGCCTGAACTCTGGGCCTGGGCACTGTCCCTCAGCTCTTCAGCTCAAGGCTAGTGCTCCACTGCTTGAGCCACAGCGCCACTTCCGGCTTTGTTCTCTTTGCTTATGTGGTACTGAGGAATCTAACCCAGAGCCTCATGCAAGCAAGCAAGGCAAGCGCGCTACCACTGAGCCACCTTCCCAGCCCATGAATTTCTATTTGTGTGTGTGTGTGTGTGTGTGTGTGTGTGTGTGTGTGTGTGTGAAAATACTGTACAGAGGGGTTACAATTACATGGACAAAATAATGAGTACATTTCTCTTTTTTTTGGGGGGGGGTCCGGTCCTGGGGCCTGAACTCTGGGCCTGGGCGCTGTCCCTGCTTCAGCTTAAGGCTAGCATTCTACCACTTGAGTCACAGTGCCACTTCTGGCTTTTTTTTCCTGCTTATGTGGTGCTGAAGAATTGAACCCAGGGCCTCATGCATGCAAGGCAAGCGCTCTACCACTGAGCCACCTTCCCAGCCCAATGAGTACATTTCTTTTTTTGGGGGGGTGGGGGTCTGGTCCTGGGGCCTGAACTCTGGGCCTGGGCGCTGTCCCTCAACTCTTCAGCTCAAGGCTAGCGCTCTACCACTTGAGCCACAGCGCCACTTCCGGCTTTTTTCTTTTTGCTTATGTGGTGCTGAAGAATCGAACCCAGGGCCTCTGGCATGCAAGGCAAGCGCTCTACCACTGAGCCACCTTCCCAGCCCAATGAGTACATTTCTTTTTTTGTTGTTGTTGTTTTGTTTTGTTTTGTTTGGGTCCGGTCATGGGGCCTGAACTCCGGGTCTGGGCGCTGTCCCTCAGCTCTTCAGCTCAAGGCTAGCACTCTACCACTTGAGCCACAGCGCCACTTCGGGCTTTTTTCTTTTTGCTTATGTGGTGCTGAGGAATGGAACCCAGGGCCTCTGGCATACAAGGCAAGCGCTCTACCACTGAACCACCTTCCCAGCCCAATGAGTACATTTCTTTTTTTTGTTGTTGTTGTTTTGTGTTTTTTTGGGTCCGGTCATGGGGCATGAACTCTGGGCCTGGGCGCTGTCCCTCAGCTCTTCAGCTCAAGGCTAGCACTCTACCACTTGAGCCACAGCGCCACTTTCGGCTTTTTTCTTTTTGCTTATGTGGTGCTGAAGAATCGAACCCAGGGCCTCTGGCATGCAAGGCAAGCGCTCTACTACTGAGCCACCTTCCCAGCCCCAATGAGTACATTTCTTATCAAGCATTGTAGCCTCCTCCTTTGTTTCCCCTTCCCATCCCCTCCCCCCCCCCCGCCATGAATTTCTTTTCTTTTTTCTTTTTTTTTTTGGGGGGGGGGGGGTCGGGTCGTGGGGCCTGAACTCTGGGTCTGGGCGCTGTCCCTCAGCTCTTCAGCTCAAGGCTAGCACTCTACCACTTGAGCCACAGCGCCACTTCGGGCTTTTTTCTTTTTGCTTATGTGGTGCTGAGGAATCGAACCCTGGGCCTCAGGCATGCAAGGCAAGCGCTCTACCACTGAGCCACCTTCTCAGCCCATGAATTTCTTTTTTTGTGATACCTCAGTGCTCAAATTATTCCAGACTTGGCCACTTTAAGTCTCCTTCAAATTGGTTCCTGTGTTGTGGTAGACTCCCTTCATTTTCTGGGGTGCTTTATTGTTATTTATTTTGGCAGTACTAGAGTTTGAGCTCAGACCTTGCACTTTGCTGGGCAGGCACTCTGACCTGAGCCATAACCCAAGGTCTACTTTTTTTTGGTCTGAGCACTGTCCCTGGGCTCTTCAGCTCAAGGCGAGCGCTCTACTGCTTGAGCCACAGCACTACTTCCAGTTTTATAGTGGTTTATTGGAAATAAGAGTCTGATGGACTTTCCTGCCTGGGCTGGCTTTGAACCGTGATCCTCAGATCTCAGCCTCCTGAGTAGCTAGGATTACAGGTGTGAGACACTGGCGCCCGGCCCAAGGTCTTCTTCTTTAGTTTTTGGTATAACATAATGCCAAAATTATTTTCTACTTTAAATACACCTCCCTTCGATTCCAAGGAGCCCTGATTCTATTTAGTGGGGACTGAGAAAAGAACAGGGAAGTGCGTAGATATCTACATAGATAAGTATATTATATTATACATTTGCTAGTCTAGGTTGTGCTAAGGACAAATGCTGTGAGAGGACTGGGAAGGTGGCTCAGTGGTGGAGCGCTGGCCTTGCATGCATGAAGCCCCAGGTTCCATTCCTCAGTACCACATAAAAGAAAAAGCCAGGCGTGGTGCTGGTGTCTCACACCTGTAATCCTCAAGTGGTAGAGTGCTCACCTTGAGCTCAAGAGCGCAGGGACACCACCCAATCCCAGAATTCAAGCCTCATGACTGACAAAAAAAAAAGCCAGAAGTGGTGCTGTGGCTCAAGTGGTAGAGTGCTAGCCTTGAGCAAAAGAAGCTTGGGGACAGTGCCCAGGCCCCAAGTTCAAGCCCCAGGATTGGCCAAAAAAAAAAAAAAGGCTTTGAGATTCCTAAATATGAATAAACATTGAATATCTTAGTGTTAAATACTGGAGATTATGTGATGAGCAAGACAGGTAAAGTTCCTGTCTCACAGTCTGGTAGAAAAGGCAATTCATTATATGAATAATTTCAACATAATATGGTGGGTACCTTTCTACTTAGAATTGGGTGTCTAAAAGCTATTAGAGAAGGGTGGATGACCTTGTAGAAAAGGTCCTGTTTTGGGTAGAGAACTCAGGTAGTGATTGCCTAGAGACAAGATCTAGATTACAGGGGTGCAGTTGATATCAGTCATTTTAACTAGAGGAATGAAACATTTTGTAAATAAGTTCTTATACTACTTGTATCGTCATGCTTATCACAATGCCTGTGCTTGTTTTAGAATGTTTTGATGAAATTAAGCTAATCTGTGTCTTTGCGTAAATTTGTTCTAATGAACTGCCTGGTTAAATCTGAAGTTGGTTTTTCAAAATAGCTCTCTGAGCCTTGGTTTCCTGACCTATAAAATTGAAGTAATAGTTCAGTTGTTGTTGAAGAATGAGTGAGATAACTCATTTGCTTAGCACAGGGAATAGTACAGGATAAATGCTTATTACATGCTATGGATTCTTCAAGTAATGGTTTTATCAACAAGGAAATAAATTCAGCAGACTAATTCTTCTTCACTCTGAAATACTGAACTTTGGACTTTAGGGCATTGCACTTGTTTAGCAAGGGCTCTAGCCCTAAGTCATACTGCCAGCCTTTTTTCACACTGGCTAGTTTTGAAGTAGAGTCTTGTTTCCTGCCCTGGACTGTGTGTGATCCTCCTATTTTACGCATGCCAACTTGCTTACCTAGACTGACTTGGAGCTTTGATTACTCAGTCTTTACTCCCAAGTAGTTAGTATTAGACTTCAGAGTGTGTCAGTACTGGGGCTTGAACCTCAGGTCTTTAAGGCCCTTGTTCAACTTTTTCCACTCATGGCTGGCACTCTGTTAATCACTCAGAATAACAATCATAAATACTTCGAGGAGCTAAAAAGATTCTAACAAGGTTGGGTGTTGGTGACTCATGCCTGTAATCCTAGTTACTTGGGAGGCTTAGATCTGAGGATTGTGGTTCGAAGCCAGCGCTGGCACAAAGATCATGAGACTCCTATCTCCATTTAACCAAGAATCTGGGGATGGAACTGTGGCTCAAGTGATAGAGCACTAACCTTAAGCAAAAAAGCTCAGGAACAGTCCCCTGACCCTGAGTTCAAGTCCCAGGGCAGGCACAAACAAACAAGTAAGTATGTAAGTACCTAGTATTATGCCTGGTACATAGTAAGTCGTAAAACAATTTTCAGTTTCCATCCTCTTTTCCCATCTCTGGCAACCCCATAGTTTCCTATTAGGTTTTATAGATGTCTTAATCTGACTTAAACTGTCTTGCTCCATTATACCTAATCTTCTGGGAAATTAGTATGGATGTGATCAATTCTCTGCTTAAACTAATGCCCATTATACTGGACAAAATACTAGTGAATCTTTAAGATTATCATATGTACTGTGTGAAAGCTTGACCTTGTATTTCCATAAAGCTGTATTGTTAAAGATGAGGAGAAATAAAATTCAGTGACTTTAATTTGACAATATGGATCACACATTCAACCTAATTCTGCACTGTATCACTTCATTCAAAAGTTTTATCCTGGCTGGGTGCCAGTGGCTCACGCCTGTAAGCCTAGCTACTCAGGAGGCTGAGATCTGAGGATGCTGGTTCAAAGCCAGCCCTGGAAGGAAAGACCGTGAAACTCTTATAAGAGCTCCAGTAAACCACCAGAAAACCAGAAGTGACGTTGTAGCTCAAGTGGTAGAGTTGGTAGAGTGCTAGCCTTGAGCTGAAGCACTGAGGGACAGTGCCCAAGCCCAGAGTTTAAGGTCCATGACCAAAAAAAAAAAAAAAGTTTTATCCTTTGAAGAACCTGGCCAAGCTGGCTGCTGCTGATATTCATGCTTGTAATCCTAGCTACAAGCATGACAGATCTGAGGATTGAGGTTCAGAGCTAGCCTGGTTAGAAAAGTCTGTAAAACTTATGTCCAATTAACACCAAAAAAAAAATCTGGAAGTACAAATGTGGCTCAAGTGGTAGGGCTCCCACCTTAAGTGGAAAAGCTAAGTAAAAGTGAACACCCAGGCCCAGAGCTCAAGTCCCAGTAATAGCGCACGTACCAGGTGCCAGTGGCTCACACCTGTCATCCTAGCTACTGAGCAGGCTGAGATCTGAGGATCCCAGTTCAAAGTCCAGGCAGGATGTCCGTGAGACTCTTACCTCCAATTAACTACCAGAAAACTGGAAGTGGCGCTGTGGCTCAAGTGGTAAAACTCACTTTGAGCTGAGGGACAGCTCCCAGGCCCAGAGTTCAAGCCCCATGACCGATAAAACAAAACAAAAAAATCAACAATGAAGAACCTGGTCTTAGTCATTGGGAGAGAACAGCTTACCTTGACTTTTCATATAGAATCTTGTGCTTGTGCCCACAGTCATACTACCCATATATACTGTTTAACTACCCATATATACCTGGGATAACAAGTGTGCCACAGAGCTCAGCTTTCATTCATTTTGATGGAGAGTCTCCTGAATTTTTTCTTTTCTTTTTTGTTTTTTTTGGTCGGCCATGGGGCTTGAACTCTGGGCCTGGGCGCTTCAGCTCTTCAGCTCAAGGCGAGCGCTCTACCACTTGAGCTACAGCGCCACTTCCGGTTTTCTGGTGGTTTATTGGAGATAGGAGTCTCACGGTCTCTCCTGCCCGGGCTGGCTTTGAACCGAGATCCTCAGCTCTCAGCCTCCTGAGTAGCTAGGATTACAGGCATGAGCCAACAGCGCCCGGCCTGAATTTTTTCTAGGCTGGCCTCAAACCATAATTCTCTCAATCTCAGCCTCCAGAATAGGTAGGAGTCACTGCACTTAATTTTTTTTTTCTTTTCCCCTAGGCTGGGTATTAAACACTGGGCTGCATGAATGCTAGGTGAGCATTCTTACCACTAAGCTACATCTATAAAGAATAGTTTACAGGTCTCATGTAATGATGGACATTAGCTTCAATTGCCTTAGTCTTTTCAAAAATAAGGATTTCTGGGCTGGAAAGGTGGCTCGGTGGTAGAGTGCTTGCCTCGCATGCATGAGGCCGTGGGTTCAATTCCTCAGCACCACAAAAGCAGAAAAAAGCCAGAAGTGGCACTGTGTCTCAAGTGGTAGGGTGCTAGCCTTGAGCTGAAGAGCTCAGGTATAGCGCCCAGGCCCAGAGTTCAAGCCCCACGACCAACCGAAAAAAAAAAAAGGATTTCCAAAATGACTGAGTTGGGTTAAAACTCAAACACTTTTTATCAAATACTATTAGATTTGTTTGAACTTTAAAAGTCTGAGTTGGTTATGGGGGCAGTTTCAAGTTAAGCCTTGGGCTTGCAGGCTTAGTAGTAGTAGTAGTCGTAGTGGTGGTGGTGGTGGTGGTGGTGGTGGTGGTGGTGGTGGTGGTGGTGGTGGTGGTGGTGGTGGTTATGGGGGCAGTTTCAAGTTAAGCCTTGGACTTGCAGTCTTAGCCTTGGGCTTGCAGTCTTAGTAGGAGTAGTAGTAGCAGCAGCAGCAGCAGCAGTAGTAGTAGTACCAGCTGTAGAAGAGTAGTAGTAGTTAGCTTTAGTTATTTTTCAGGCAGAATTTTTTTGCCCAGGTCAGCCTCAGACCATGTTCTTCCTGCCTGTGGTCTTCCACCTACCTAGGATTACAGATGTGAGCCACTGTACCTGGCTTGCAACTTGTGTGTTACTACCATTCATTTTTTAAAATTTGGAGCCATTTAATGAAACCTGAACCACTTAGGTTCCAATAATGACTCTGCTTTTGAAGTGTAATAGCATCATTTAATCCTGAAATTTTATAATTAGAAGGCAATTTTTGCCTAGCTGACATAATTTTGTGTGGAAAGGTATATTTTTAGCTGACATAACTTTATGTGGAAAGGTATTGTTTGACTTGATACTTGACTTCAGGTCAGAGAATTCACAACTTGTAAAAAAATTTACTGTGTGTGTTTGTGTTTGAAGAAATACTAAAACTTTAGTTCTTAGGCAGTCACTGGTGACTCATGCCTATAGTTGTAGCTGCTCAAGAGGCTGAGATCTGAGGATTAAGGTTCAAAGCCAGCCCAAACAGGAAAGTCCGTAAGACTCTTACCTCTACTTAACCACCAAAAAGCCAGAAGTGGATGTCTCAAGTGGTCGAGTGCTAACCTTGACCCCAAAAGCTCAGGGACAGTACCTCAGGGCCTGAATCCAAGACCCATGGCTCACAAATACACATACTCCAACATGAAACATGTATGTCTCATACCCTTGTTGGGCCAAGAGCCCATTAAGTGACTGATGTCTTTATTACAGCCAGGTTGTGCTAGTTGGTTTTTTTTTGGTGTTTTTTTTTTTTTTTTAGTTTGTTTTTTGGGGGGTCCGGTCATGGGGCCTGAACTCTGGGCCTGGGCGCTGTCCCTCAACTCTTCAGTGCAAGGCTAGCGCTCTACCACTTGAGCCAAAGCGCCACTTCCGGCTTTTTTCTTTTTGCTTATGTGGTGCTGAGGAAACGAACCCAGGGCCTCTGGCATGCAAGGCAAGTGCTCTACCACTGAGCCACCTTCCCAGCCCCAGGTTGTGCTAGTTGTAAAAGAAAAAAATTAACATAGTAATGTTCTGTCCTTTACTCAGATATACCTAATCTCCCTTTAATTTCTGTCTCTGTCTATAGTTTTTCAGTAATTGTTGGAAATGCTTTACTGTGTTCAAAGATAAAAGGAAATATCAAAATCTTGTTTAAAACATTCATGACAAAGTCAACTAAGAAAATGAGAAGTCACCTTCAGTGATATAACCATAGGTTGAGATAACTGACAGGATTGAGGTCCCCCACTGAGCACTTTTCAGTACAAAAATTTACTGGAACACATCAAAGGTTTATATAGTGCTTAAGTGCATGCCAGATTTCTGTTGTGTGCAGGGGGCAAACTGTTTCAAACTATGATTTTTACATTTGTGGAGCTCATCCTCTGATACTCTGTAGTCTTAGCCCAGTCGACAGACTTTGACTGACTGTGATCAAATTGACCTGCCAGTCTGAAAAATACCATGTACCCATATACCTCTATATGCTATTATTTTTCCAATTTTTAATGGAAATGTTCCTTTTTGTTGGTGGTGGTGGTGGTGGTTGTGGGGCTTGAACTCTGGGCCTGGACACTGTCCCTCAGCTCCAGCTCAAGGCTAGCACTTATCACTTGAGCCTCAGCACCCCATCCTCCCTTTTGTTTTTAATCTGTATATTCAGATCCTACTTGTGGCTCTTTAGAGAGGATGCTTCTGTGTTGTTTATTTCTACACAAATATACACCACTTTTATTATGCTGGAGAACTTTAAAATATGGCAAAACCTGGTACTCATGGCTCACACATGTAATCTTAGCTACTCAGGAGGGATCTAAGGGTGGAGATTGAAAACCAACTCAGGCGGGTAAGACTTACCTCCAGTTAATCAGCAAAAAGCTGGATGTGATGCTGTGGCTCAAGCAGTAGAGCACCAGTTTGGAGCAAAAAAGCTTTGTGACAATGGTCAGGCCATGGGTTCAAGCCCCAGGACCACACCAAAAGTATTCGGTCAGTTTGGTTAAACATGGTTGATAATGGTATTGATCTTATATGTGAGTCTTTACTATTCATGTAAATGCAAATGTACGACATACCCTTCAGTGTATTTTAGAGAAGAATTTGTAGGTGTACTACTCTTGTATTCACAAGTATTCGTTGTCTTATCTCCTAGGAGGAGAGCATTCCCATTGCTTTATCTGGTAGGGATATCTTAGCTAGAGCAAAAAATGGAACAGGCAAGAGCGGTGCCTACCTCATTCCCTTACTTGAACGGCTAGACCTGAAGAAGGACAATATACAAGGTTAGTTGGAGGGAAAGTTCTTGTGTTTGTTTAAAGTGAAAAGGGTGGTTTAAAATTTGGACCCATAGCTGGGCGCCAGTGGCTCACACCAATCCTAGCTACTCTTGGAGGCTGAGATCTAAGGATCATGGTTCAAAGCAGGAAAGTACATGAGACTCTTACCTGCAATAACCTAATCAGAAAAAGCCAGAAGTGGCACTTAGTGGCTCAAGTAGTAGAGTGCTAGCCTTGAGCACAAAGGGGCTCAAGGACAGTACCCAGTCCCAGAGTCCAAGTCCCGGTACTGGCTTCAAAATTGGAGCCAAGTTGCCTTTTTTCCCCTTCCAGTCAATTTGGAATTATTCTATAGTTATACCCTAAACTAGTAGAATTAAAATTTCACTTTTAAGGCTTTTCTTGAGGTTTCAACTTTCTTAATCTATAGTTAATATTCTTTCATGTGATACGTATAGAATCTAGGCAGCAGGTATTTTGGTAGTTCAATTAAAAATCTCTTACTTTCAAATGTACTTTAAGACTGTAGCTGGGAAGGTGGCTCAGTGGTAGAGTGCTTGCCTTGCATGCATGAAGCCCTGGGTTCAATTCCTCAGCACCACATAAGCAGAAAAAGCCAGAAGTGGTGCTGTAGCTCAAGTGGTCGAGCACAAGCCTTGAGCTGAAGAGCTGAGGGACAGCGCCCAGGCCCAGAGTTCAGGCCCATGACTGACAAAAAAAAAAAAAAAAAAAAAAAGACTGTAAAAGTGTTAATATATCTGTGGGGTCTATAATAGATGGGCCTCTCAGTTTATCTTAGCATCTAGTTTACAAGGAAAAAGTGTTTTGATAACTTCTTAAATTTTTAAAATATATTCTCTGTTTTCCCCTTCCATTTTCTCTATTTCTTGGTATTTTCCAGCAATGGTGATTGTTCCCACTAGAGAACTTGCTCTACAGGTCAGTCAAATTTGCATCCAGGTCAGCAAACACATGGGAGGGGCTAAAGTGATGGCAACCACAGGAGGAACCAATTTACGAGATGATATAATGAGGCTTGATGATACAGGTAGGAAATGATTAAGTAATAGCATTGGTCTCTATAATTTATTCGTTTGGTCTTCTGGAAATTATAATAATTGTTTTTTAAGAATTATGGGGGGGCTGGGAAGATGGCTCAGTGGTAGAGCGCTTGCCTTGCATGCCTGAGGCCCTGGGTTTGATTCCTCAGCACCACATAAGCAAAAAAATGAAAAAAGCCGGAAGTGGCGCTGTGGCTCAAGTGGTAGAGCGCTAGCCTTGAGCTGAAGAGCTGAGGGACAGTGCCCAGGCCCAGAGTTCAGGCCTCACGACTGGACCCAAAAAAAAAAAAAAAGAATTATGGGATAGAGCTGGGAAGGTGGCTTAGTGGTAGAGTGCTTGCCTCACATGCATGAGGCCCTGGGTTCGATTGCTCAGCACCACATAAGCAGAAAAACCCGGAAGTGGGTGCTGTGGCTCAAGTGGTAGAGCGCTCACCTTGAGCTGAAAAGCTGAGGGACAGCGCCAATCCCAGAGTTCAAGCCCCATGACCGACAAAAAAAAAAAATTACGGAATAGGTCTGAATGGATGGTTCAAGTGGGAGGGCATTAGTCAAGCAAGTGAGAAGCCCTGAATGCAAACCTGAACACCACCACCCCACCCCACCCCACCCCCCCCCCAAAAAAAAGCTGGGTGCTGGTGGCCCATACCTGTAAACCTAACCATTCAGGAGGCTGAGGTCTAAGGATTGCAGTTCAAAGCTAGCCCAAGCAGGAAAGGCCATGAGACTCTTACCTCCAATTAACCATCAGAAAACCAGAAATGGCGCTGTGGCTCAAAGTGCTAGCCTTGAGTGAAAAAGTTCAGACAGTGCTCAGGCCCTGAGTGTTCCTTCCCATGGCCCACCAAAAAAAAAAAAAAAGGAATATAGGTTTATGTCTATAATCTTAGTCATTCAGGAGCACTGAATTACTGTTAAGAGCCAGCTCAGACAGGAAAGTTTAGGAGACTCTTATCTCCAATTATCCACCAAAAAGAAAGCTGAAATCAGGTATAGCTCAGATAGTAGAACACTAGCCTTGAGCAGAATAGCTCAGGGACAGTGCTTAGGCACTGAGTTCAAGTTCTAGTACCAGCACAGAAAAAAAGAAAAAAAACCTGAAAGTGAAAAATACTGTGGCTTAGCAATAGTATGCTTTCCTAGCAAGTGCAAGCCCAGAGTTTAAACCCAGCACCAGTCCCCCTCACCAGAGAAAGAGTTGAGAACAAAACATTGTAGTAGAAAGGTAAAGAATGAGCCTGGTGCTGGTGGGTCACACCTGTAATCCTAGCTACTCAGGAGATCTGAGGATCGTGCTTCAAAGTCCTTGAGACTCTTACCTCCAATAAACCACTTAGAAAACCAGAAGTGGTGCTGTGGCTCAAGTGGTAGAGCGCTCACTTTGAGCTGAAGATCTGAGGGACAGCGCCAGACCCAGAGTTCAAGCCCTATGACCAACAAAAAAGAAAGAATGAGAATGGAGGTGAGGGCCTGGGAAGGCTCAGTAGTAGAGTGCTTGCCTTGCATGCATGAGGCCCTGGGTTCCATTCCTCAGCACCACATAAGCAGAAAAAGCCTAAAGTGGCACCATGTCTCAAGTGTTAGAGCACTAGCTTTGAGTTGAAGAGCTGAGGGACAGCACCCAGGCCCAGAGTTCAGGCCCCACTACCGACCAAAAAAAAAAAGGACTGGGAAGGTGGCTCAGTGGTAGAGTGCTTGCCTTGCTTGTATGAGGCCCTGCCCTGGGTTCCATTCCTCAGCACCACATAAGCAGAAAAGGCCAGAAGTAGCGTTGTGTCTCAAGTGGTAGAGAGCTAGCTTTGAGCAAAAGAAGCTCAGGGACAGCGCTCAGGCCCTGAGTTCAAGCACCAGGACTGGCCAAAAAAAAAAAAAAAGAATGAGAATGGGCTGGGAATGTTGCTTAGTGGTAGAGCACTTGCCTAGCATGCATGAAGCCCTGGGTTCAATTCTTCATTATCACATAAACAGAAAAAGCCAGAAGTGACGCTGTGGCTCAAGTGGTAGAGTGCTAGCCTTGAGCAAAAGAAGCTCAGGGACAGTGCCCAGGCCCTGAGTTCAAGCCCCAGGACTGGCAGAAAAAAGAAAGGATGAGAATGACTATTTCAGTCAAGGGGGAAAAAAAAAATACATTAGTAGGCTGTTAAAGCTACTACTACAAATGTCTTAAGTAACTAAAATGAAAATTTTAATATTCAAGGCAAAAGAATTAGTTTTCAACATATGACTGGAAAATAGGCTATCATATAATGATCGCTGTTGTGGGCAGTTGGGCAGTGTGTTTCCAAGAATCTTGTTTAGCTGGATGCCAGTGGCTCATGCCTATAATCCTAGCTATCAGGAGGCTGAGATCTGAGGATTGTGGTTCAAAGCCAGCCTGGGCAAGAAAGTCCAAGAGACTCTTATCTCTAATTAATCTTCAGAAAACTGGAAGTGGTGCTGTGGTTCAAGTGGTAGAGTGCTCACCTTGAGCTGAAGAGTTGAGGGACAGCACCAAGGCCCAAAATTCAAGATCCACAACCGACTGAAAAAACAAAACAAAAAAAGAATCTTGTTTAGAAAGTTAATTTGGTAAATATAAAGTTGTATATACCAGTCACTTACTTCAGCATGGTTTTAGATAGGTTTTACTTGGAATCTTACATAAAATTGTCATGTGGTTACCTTAATTGATACGCTTTGTATGCAGATTTGGGTTTTGTTGTTTTTTATACTTTGTTTTATCCTTATGATGTTAGCTGAAGGTATGCCTTCCTTCTACGTCAGAAACCTGGGTACTTGTTGTCATTTCTATCTTTACAATAGTATTTACAGTGAAAGAAACAAAAACCTTTACAGTGTCTTTTTTTTTTTTTTTTTTTTTGTCCCAAGCTAAAATTAATGAGAATGTTTTCTAAATCTTGTGTAGTACATGTGGTGATTGCTACCCCTGGCAGAATCCTGGATCTTATCAAGAAAGGAGTAGCGAAGGTTGATCATGTCCAGATGATAGTATTGGATGAGGTAATGTCTCTTCATTTGGAAAGATATGTCTACACTATTGTATGTATGCTTGTTGCTTACTGTTTTCAGTGAAGACAGCAAAAGTTGTTCATGTTTATAACTTCCTAATAAGCACTAGACAGTTAAAATTTTCTTTTTCTACCAATATTTAGGGTGTGTTTTTTCTTTTGTTTTTTTTGGGGGGGGGTCCGGTTGTGGGGCCTGAACTCTGGGCCTGGGCGCTGTCCCTCAGCTCTTCAGCTCAAGGCTAGCGCTCTACCACTTGAGCCACAGTGCCACTTCGGCTTTTTTTTCTTTTTGCTTATGTGCTGAGGAATCGAACCCAGGGCCTCATGCATGCAAGGCAAGCACTCCACCACTGAGCCACTTTCCCAGCCCAATATTTAGGTTTTAAACTCAGGGCCTAAAGCTTGTTTGGTTAGCACTTGGCCAGTGAGTGTCTCACGAACTTTCCTGCCTGGGCTGGCCTTGAACTGCCATTCTCAGATATCAGCCTCCTGATAAGCTAAGGTTACAGGCATGAGCTACCTGTGCCTGGCTAGATCTTACCTTTTATTTATTTATTTTTTTTGTCGGTCGTGGGGCTTGAACTCTGGGCCTGGGCGCTGTCCTTCAGCTCTTCAGCTCAAAGCGAGCGCTCTACCACTTGAGCTACAGCGCCACTTCCGGTTTTCTGGTGGTTTATTGGAGATGGGATTCTCACGGTCTCTTCTGCCTGGGCTGGTTTTGAACCGCGATCCTCAGATCTCAGCCTCCTGAGTAGCTAGGATTACAGGCGTGAGCCACCAGTGCCTGGCTAGATCTTAACTTTTAAAAAAGGAGTTACTAAATAACATCAGAACCAAGTCAGTTTGAAGTCTATTTAGTGGTGTGGTTTTTAAAACAATGTCCCATTCCTAATTTTGTATTACTTAGTATCATTTTTTTTTTTTTAGTCTGTGTTACCCAACTCTGGGATATAGTAATGTTTTATTCATGGAAAATATCAGTGTTAATAGTTGGACATAGTTATTTCCTGGTTTGGCTTGTATTTAGATAATTTAATTCATTAATCATTATTTACTAATCTTTGAAATAATCTACCTCATGAAAGTTAACATTTATTAACATGCTTTATTAGTTAATTTTTACTAATAACCTAAGGTGTGGGTATATTATAAAGTAGTTACTATGTTGTATAGGTACTTAGTTTTACAGTTCTAGAAATAGGAATACAGTGGTTAACATCCCAACACAGTTAATGAATAAAAGGCAATATTTTAACAGTTAAGACTCCATAGCCTGTTAATTTTTACCCATTATATTGTATTACCTCCTTAATAAGAACCATTTGAATTGTGTTATGGGGCAAGGATTTTATCAGTCTAGGGTTTTTTGGTTTAGTTTGGCTTTTGGTGCCAGTATTGGGGCTTGAACCTCAGTGTCTGTTTGTTTTTTTGGGTCCAGTTGTGGGGCCTGAACTCTGGGCCTGGGCACTGTCCCTCAGCTCTTCAGCTCAAGGTTAGCGCTCTACCACTTGAGCCACAGCACCACCTCCAGCTTTTTTCATTTTACTTATGTGTTTGCTGGGGAATTGAACCCAGGGCCTCATGCATGCAAGGCAAGAACTTTACCACTGAGCCACCTTCCCAGCCCTCAGGGTCTGGTTTTGAACTCAGGGCCTGAAGCTCGCTTGGCTTCAGGGCCTGGGCTCTGTCCCTGAGCTTTTTTATTTAAGGATAGCACTTTACCACTTTGAGTCACAGCACCACTTCCAGTTTTCTGATGGTTAATTCGAGATAAAGAGTCTCACTGACTTTACTACGGGCATTGAACCGCAGTCCTTAGATCTCAGCCTTTAGCTTTTTTGCTCAAGGCTAGTGCTCTACCACCACTCTACTTCTGATTTATTAGTAGTTAATTTGAGTTAATAGACTTTATCTGGCCTAGCCTGCTTTGAACTTTGATTCTTAAATTTCAGCCTCCGGAGTAGTGAGGATTACATACCTGAGCCACTGGTGCCTGTTTGATATCTATTTATATAGGAGGGGGAGGTAGATAAGAGTGTGTGCTTTTAACTTTACCTTAGATGATAGGGCTTATATTTCCCCTGCTGAGTCATTAGGAGTTTTTCTAGCTGTGGGTGGTTTTTTTTTTTTTTTAATCAGATTATGCTTTGTCCTTTATATATTAGCCAAAGACTCTTTCATGGTTTTAAAAATTGTGTTTTCTGTACTACAGGCAGATAAATTGCTGTCACAGGATTTTGTGCAGATAATGGAGGATATTATTCTCACGCTACCTAAAAACAGGCAGATTTTACTCTATTCTGCTACTTTCCCTCTTAGTGTACAAAAGTTTATGGTAAGTATAAATCTGTACTTAGAATTAGTGCTGTTCTGTTCTTGTAGGCTTTTGCCTGTAATCTCATTTTGGATTATGTGTTTTGTGCCCTTTTTTCAATTACAAGTTAAAATTGGTACACTCAGGGCCTGGGCTCTGACCCTGAGCTTTTTCACACAAGGGTAGCACTTTACCACTTGGGCCACAGTGCCACTTCTGGTTTTCTTTAATTGGAGATGAGTCTCACTGACTTTACTGTCTGGACTGGCTTTGAACCACAGTCCTTAGATCTCAGCCTCCCAAGTAGCTAGGATTCCAGGTGTGAGCCACCAGTGCCAGGCCTACAGATTCATCTTAAGCTATAATGTTTATTTAATTTTTTTTTTTTGGGTCCGGGCATGGAGCCTGAACTCTGGGCTTGGGCGCTGTCCCTCAATTCTTCAGCTCAAGGCTAATGCTCTACCACTTGAACCACAGCACCACTTCTGGCTTTTTTCTTTTTGCTTATGTGGTGCTGAGGAATCAAACCCAGGGTCTCAGGCATGCAAGGCAAGTGCTCTACCACTGAGCCACCTTCCCAGCCCCATACTTAAAATTTTTTGTTTCCTACTTTAGTATTTGATGTCAGTTTAAGATGCTTCAGTGATGGTGGGTAGTTGGTCATAACTTTTTTTCACATAGAAAATAAAATACTAACTCGTACATACTTTTCAATCTGAAGCCTCCCATTGTATGGTACTTCATTTCTTTTCTATGTACTTGGTTTGAAGAGAGGCACATCACTTAGAGCAAAAGACAGAAATACATGTATTTTGAATTTTAGGAGAACTGGTATCATTTATGACTTTTTGTTTTTGGTAGAATTCCCATTTGCAGAAACCCTATGAGATTAACCTGATGGAGGAACTGACTCTGAAGGGAGTAACCCAGTACTATGCTTATGTAACTGAGCGCCAAAAAGTACACTGCCTCAACACACTCTTCTCCAGGGTAAGTAGGAGGATTCTGCTGTAAATATTACCCATCACTCAGTCCTAGTAAAACAAGAGAGTCTTACAGCATCTTTTTTTTTTCTTTTTTCGGTCGGTCGTAGGGCCTGAACTCTGGGCCTGGGCGCTATCCCTCAGCTCTTCAGCTCAAGGCTAGCGCTCTACCACTTGAGCCACAGCACTACTTCCGGCTTTTTTCTGCTTATGTGGTGCTGAGGAATCGAACCCAGGGCCTCATGCATGCAAGGCAAGCACTCTACCACTGAGCTATCTTCCCAGCCCTCTTACAGCATCTTTACTGTTAAGAAAAAAGTCCTTGCCGGTGCTGGTGGCTCATGCTTACAATCCTAGCTACTCAGGAGGCTGAGATCTGAGGATTACAGTTCAAAGCCAGCCTGGGCAGGAAAGTCCAAGAGACTCTTAACCTCTATAATTAATCACAGAAAAATCTGAAAGTGGAACTATGTTTCAAATGGTAGAGCATTAGCCTAGAGCAAGAGCTCAGAAAGGTCTGAGAGACTCTTATCTCCAGTAAACTACTCAGAAAAAAGCCTGAAGTAGCACTGTGGTTTAGGTGGTAGTGTGATAACCTTGAGCAAAAGAAATTTAGGAATAGTGCCCAGGCCCTCAAGTCAAGCCCCAGGACTGGCCAAAAAAAAAAGGCAGCTCAGGGATAGCTCTCAGGCCCCGAGTTCAAGCCCCAGACCCAGCAGAAAAAGGAGAAGAAAGTGTTTCCTAGAAGAAGTTTGCAGTTGATCTGAAGTTGAAACTCTCTGATTGATAGCTGTACTTAATTTTATTCTAGAATAATTTGATCCTTGATATTTACAGGTATTGCACTTGTTCATTTGCCTAGTTAAAATTTAATTGTAACTCCTAAATCAGTACTCTGTGCACTTTTACAGTCATTTTGTGGATATTGTAAAAAAATTTTGACTTACCTGAGGTGTACATTCTTAGTTGAGGACAAAAAAGTTGACATTCTGGAGCTGGGAAGGTGGCTCAGTGGTAGAGTGCTTGCCTTGCATGCATGAGGCCCTGGGTTCGATTCCTCAGCACCACATAAGCAGGAAAAAAAAATCCAGAAGTGGTACTGTGGCTCAAGTGGTAGAGTGCTAGCCTTGAGCTGAAGGACTGAGGGACAGTGCCCAGGCCCAGAGTTCAGGCCCCACGACTGGACCCAAAAAAAAAAAAAATGACATTCTGACTTCTTTTTTACCTCTCATGACCTTTTTTCATAGTCTTAATACCATATTTTCTCCATTTTTGTGCTTTTGTTATTTTATTGTGAAAAGACCCCTGCACTAGTGCTAAATGTTACCTAGTCCTCCTAAGCACAAGAAGACTGCCTTAAAGAGAAAATGTGTTGATAAGCTTTTGACAAGCATGGCTACAGATGTATTAAATAAGAGGTCCTTATAAAGGTATATGCATTGATCTATTCATGGAAAAAGCTCTGACCAGAGGCTCACAGTAACCTAATCTGTATTTTCAGTACTGTATTTGCTATTCCCTAAGATGAGTTTTTTTTTTTTTTTTGGGTCCGGTCGTGGGGCCTGAACTCTGGGCCTGGATGCTGACCCTCAGCTCTTCAGCTCAAGGCTAGCGCTCCACCACTTGAGCCACAGCACCACTTCCAACTTTTTTCTTTTTGCTTATGTGGTACTGAGGAATCGAACCAGGTCCTCATGCATGCAAGGCAAGCGCTCTACCTCTGAGCCACCTTCCTAGTCCCTGTTCCATGAGATGTGAAAGAATCAACTATTTCACTCTTGTTGGCAAATATGTGACCCTAACACATACTCTACTGTGAAAACATAAACTATTATCTACAACTATTGGAGAACAAAATATGTAGTTTTTACAACTCTATCTCTTACATCATAAGATTCTGAATTTTAACACATGCTATTGGCCAGCTACTACCTTCAAGATTTGACAAAACAAATGAAGGCGCTATTTTTCCTTCTCAAATGTATTTTTTCCTGTGCTTAGCTTCAGATAAACCAGTCGATCATTTTCTGCAACTCCTCTCAGCGAGTTGAATTGCTAGCCAAGAAGATTTCTCAGCTGGGTTATTCTTGCTTCTATATCCATGCTAAAATGAGGCAGGTAAGTGTAAAAGTAGAACTTTCACGGATTTAACCAAAAATGTTTCCTTAAATATTTCTTGGATTTTGCTTGCTTTTGGTGCCCTTCCAGATGTCTGTGTTTAAGGATAAATTATTCTTGGTATACCTTGGTGATAGAGAAGGCCTTGGGGTCAATCTCTGGTTACAATCGAGAGGGGTATGGAATGTACTACTATTATGTACTATTTTCAGTAACTGTAAGATTATTCCTTTTAGCTAACTCTCTGAGGTTGAATTCTCTAAAAATGGGTTTATAGTACATATTCATACCTTATAAGGTAGTTAGGAGTATTGAGTTTACAAGTGAAATATGTAAGATAATCTCTTAAGTGTATACTGTTTATTATAATAACCAGTAGCTGCGGGGCACCAGTGTCTCACGCCTGTAATCCTAGCTACTCAGGAGCTGAAATCTGAGGATTGCAGTTCAAAGCCAACCTGGGCAAGGAAATCTTGAGGCTCTTATCTCCACTTAACCACCAGAAAACTAGAAATGGCACTGTTGCTCAAGTTGGTAGAGAACTAGTTTTGAGCTGAAGAGCTTAGGGACAGCATTCAGTTCCTGAGTTCAAGCCCCTTGACCAATAAAAAAAACAGTAGCCACAAATAGCAATGTAGATCAGTTAAAATGAAATAAGGCTAACCAAATTTCAAGTGTTCAGTTAGATACTCGTGGAGTGTATAGATAGATACAGAACATTTACTATAGAAAGCTCTTGAGGGCTGGGAAGGTGGCTCAGTAGTAGAGTGCTTGCCTCGCATGCATGAGGTCCTGGGTTTGATTCCTCAGCACCACATAAACAGACAAAGCAGGAAATGGCGCTGTAGCTCCAGTGGTAGAGTGCTAGCCTTGAGCTGAAAAATTGAGGGACAGCACCCAGGCCCAGAGTTCAGGTCCCACCACCTACCCCCCAAAAAAGCTCTTGAGGTCGGTTACTAAGGGCTCATACCCATAATCCTAGCTTCTCAGGAGGTTGAGATCTGAGGATTGTGGTTCACAGCCAGTCTGGGCAGGAAAGTCTGCAAGACTCTGATCTGCAGTAAACCACCAAAAAGCTAGAAGTGGAGTTGTAGCTCAAATGGTATAACACTAGTCATAAGCACAAAAGCTCTAGGGATAGTATGTGGGCCCTGAGTTGTTAAAGTCCCACGACTGATATTTAAAAAAAAAAAAAAAAGTACTGTCATAGATTTAGTCAGGGTTATGAAATACTGATTGGATAGGAGAAAAAGATGAAAAATGTTAATTAATGGAGTGCTTCTCCCGCCCCCCCCCCCCCCACAGGAACATCGAAATCGTGTATTTCATGATTTCCGAAATGGCTTATGCCGCAATCTTGTTTGCACTGGTAAGTATTTTATTTATACTGTTTCCTTCCTAATTCTGGATTTGCTTTCTTCATTTCACATAATATAGCCTAATGTGGCATACCTTATTAACACTTCAACAGTTTCTGAATTTAGAGAACTCTAGTTACTACTAAAATGGGGCCTTTTTTTTTGGTGGGTGTCCAGTCATGGGGCCTGAACTCTGGGCCTGGGCGCTATCCCTCAGCTCTTCAGCTCAAGGCTAGCGCTCTACCACTTGAGCCACAGCGCCACTTCTGGCTTTTTTCTTTTTGCTTATGTGGTGCTGAGGAATCGAACCCAGGTCCTCATGCATGCAAGGCAAGCGCTCTACCACTGAGCCACCTTCCCAGCCCCTAAAATGAGGCCCTTTATCTGAATCTTCAGATTGGTTCTGGCACTCATCTTGGGGTTTAAAACTAGTTTTGGAATTTTTGTGTTTTCTTAATGGTTTAAGCATATAGGAATAAAATAACAGAAAAGGATTAGAAGAATATGTTTTAGAAATAGTCTTTATTTTTTTCCTCCACCAGCAGCAGTGCTAGAGTATATTTTGTGTTATTTTACTACCAAAAGAAAAAGTGGGGCTGGGTGCTGGTTGCTTACACCTATAATTCTAGCTACTCAAGGTTGAGATCTAAAGATTGTAATTCAAAGCCAGCAGTGGCAGGAATGTCCAAAAGACTCTTATTTCCAATTAACTGCCAAGAAACTGAAAATGGCTCTTAGGGCTCAAAGTGGTAGAGCCACTAGACTTGAGCAAAAAAGCTCAGAGAAGCCAGGTGCCAATGGCTCACGCCTATAATCCTAGCTACTCAGGAGTCTGAGATCTGAGGATCACAGTTCAAAGCCAGCCCAGGCAGGAAAGTCCATGAGACTCTTTTTTTTTTTTTTTTTTTTGGGTCGGTCGTGGGGCTTGAACTCTGGGCTTGGGCGCTGTCCCTCAGCTCTTCAGCTATAGACTAGCACTCTACCACTTGAGCTACAGCGCCACTTCCAGTCCATGAGACTCTTATCGCCAATAAACCACCAGAAAAACAGAAGTAGCGCTGTGGCTCAAGTGCTAGATAGCTCATCTTGAGCTGAAGAGCTGAGGGACAACTCCTGGGCCCAGGGTTCAAGCCCCATAACCAACCAAAAAAAGCTCAGAGAAGAACCCAGGCCCTGAGTTCAAGCCCTGTGACCCACCAAAACACTGGGAGGCAGGTAGGTCATCAAATCAGATAAAGTAAATAGATTCATTGCACTCCCTTTTCTGCAGTTGGTATCTAGTCTTACTATTGGTATGACATTAATATATAATCTAAGTTTATGAGTAACAACTAGAATTGAACTGAAGCATATGCATATAAATAAGAATACTAATTTCAGGTATGTTACTTGATACATTCTTAGACATGTATATACTCATAACCACCACCTAGATCCACATGTGGAAGATCAGAAATTTTGTAAAAATGCTGTTGTAGAAATGAGTCCAATGATTATTAATTTGATAATTTATAAGCATTAAGAAAATGTATGTACCTCTTCCCTTCTCTCTCCACAAGCCTCCAACTCATGCGGGGCAGGCAGTGTGTTGTCCCCACATAAGCACTTTTCTGCCGGGGGGGGGGGTGGGGGGGCGTATATAGGCTTGATGCCTGTGGCTCATACCTGTAATCCTAGCTACTAAGGACGCTGAGGTCTGAAGGTTGTGGTTCAAAGCTAGCCTGGGCAGAATAGTCCATGATACTTTTTTGGCGGGGGGGGGGGGGGGGGGGGGTGGGCAGGCAGCATTCCTGTCTCTTGACTCCAGGGCCTGAGCCTCTTTGTGCTCAAAGCTAGCACTATCACTTGAGCCACAATGCCACTTCTGACTTTTTCTGAGCAGTTTATTGGAGATAAGTCTCTCAGATTTTTCTGCCCTTGGCTGGTTTCAAACTGTGATCCACAGATCTCAGCCTCCTGAGTAGCTAGTATTACAGGTGTGAATCACTGGCGCCTGGCCATGAGACTTTTTTTTTTTTTTTTTTGCCAGTCCTGGGGCTTGAACTCAGGGCCTGGGCACTGTCCCTGAGCTTCTTTTACTCAAGATTAGCATTCTACCACTTGAGCCACAGTGCCACTTCCACCTTTTTCTGTTTATGTAATTCTGAGGAATCAAACCCAGAGCATCATGCATTCTAAGCAAGCACTCTACCACTAAGCCACATTCCCAGCTCCTGCCATGAGATTCTATCTCCAGTAAACTGCTCAAAGGTGGAATTAGTGCTGTGGTTCAAGTGGTAGTGTGCTAGCCTTGAGTATAAAAAGTCTCAGGGGAGCACATAGGTCTTTAGTTCAAACTCTAATAGACAAGAAAAAAAATATATATATATATAATATCTTACATTCTTCTAATTTGTCTTGCTTCTTAGCCCTACATCAGAAAGTATAATTAAACTATAAATATATTTGTGCTTATTTTATCAGAAATAATAGAGAATTAATATGAAATACTTATTTTAGTGGACTCTCACAAGGTTTAAGGTTAGACTTTAAGTCTTCATTTTTCTCCCCTTTGATTAGGAAACAAATCATACTTTTTCTCTCATTCTCTTTTGCATGTATAACTTACAAGTTCTAAATAGCTATTTATTGATAGTCTTCAAGTATTTACTCTGCTAGATACTTGCTTCTCCTCCTTTTTGTAGTGCTGGGGACCAATCTCATGGCCTAGTAATTCTAGACAAGTGCTCTACCACTGAGCTACATCCCCAACCCTTTGTACACTTTGGGAAATTATGACAAAATATTTGTGTATATGTTTCATGTTTATTAAATTTTTCCCTGCATATGAGGAACCTATATTCTAGGATAATTTCTGACCTGGTTCAGTGGTTAATGGTGAGTTGTTTATAGAGTTACCTTAAAGTAATTCAGGATTTGGTTTTTTTTTTGCTTTTTTTGTTGTTGTTGTTGTTGGTTGTGGGTCCTGAGCTCTGGGCCTGGGAACTATCCCTCAGCTCTTCAGCTCAAGGCTAGCGCACTACCACTTGAGCTACAGCGCCACTTCCAGCTTTTTTCTGCTTATGTGGTGCTGAGGAATCGAACGCAGGGCCTCATGCATGCAATGCAAGCACTCTACCACTGAGCCACCTTCCCAGCCCGTAATTCAGGATTTGAAGGCATTTAGAAAGTACCATTTGCCACCAGGCAAATCAATTTATTTATTTATTTATTTATTTATTTATTGTCATGGGACTTGAACTCTGGGCCTGGGTGCTGGCTGTCCCTGAGCTCTTCAGTTCAAGGCTAGTGCTCTACTACTTGAGCCACAGTGCCACTTCAGTTTTTCTAGTGGTTTTGGAGATAAGAATCTCATGGACTTTCCTGCCTGGGCTGGCTTTGAACAGCAATCCTCAGATCTCAGAGTAGCTAGGATTACAGGTGTGAGCCACCAGTGCCCAGCTTTATAATACCCCCAAAAAAGAAGAAAAAGGAAAATACTTATAATATTTGGACATTGATATGAATTGTTGTACTAGCTAATTGGTTTTAATTTTAATTATTTGCAAGTCCTTCATATCATATGTATTTGAGTGCTGATGTTTTTTTCCTTGCCCCTGTCTCCATACTGGGGATTGAACCTGGGATACCACTCATATCTGACAAGCACTCTCCTTTTTTTTTTTTTTGGGGGGTCGGTTGTGGGGCTTGAACTTTGGGCCTGGGCGCTGTCCCTCAGATCTTCAGCTCAAGGCTAAGGCTCTACCACTTGAGCTACAGCACCACTTCCGGTTTTCTGGTGGCTTATTGAAGATAAGAGTCTCATGGACATTCCTGCCTGGGCTGGCTTTGAACTGTGATCCTTAGATCTTAGCCTCCTAAATAGCTAGGATTATAGGCGTGAGCCACCAGCACCCGACTCCTTTTTTTTAAATAAGTTTTTTTTTATTGTGAATATACTGTACAGAGAGGTTACAGTTACATGAGCAAGGGTTGTCTCCTCCTTTGTTTTTCCCCTACCATCCCTTCCCTCCCACCTCCACAAATACACTCCCCTCCCCTTCCTCCCCTTCGCCAGAGAAGAACTCTTCTTATCACTGAGCTATAATCCCTATCCTTACATCTCAGTCTTGGGGCATAAACTCTGTTTGAGCTTTTCTGCTCAAAGCCTAGTACTCTAGCACTGGACACAACTCCACTTCCAACTTTTGTGATGCTTAGAGATAAGAGTCTTAAGTACTTTCCTGCACATCTTAACCTCCAGAGTAGCTAAGATTACAGTGTGGGCTTTAGTCTTCACATCCTTTTTTTTTTTTTTAAGGAATGTTTCTCGCCAAGATGCCCAAGGTAGCCTGGAACTTATGATCTTGCCTCAGCCTCCCAAGTAGCAGAAATTATAGACTATATGCCATATATGTGGTATATATAGAATATGTGCCATGTTTTGTCTTCTGATTTTTCAAACAGTTTATAAAATGTTAAGCACTGCAGGGCTAAGCGTGTTTCCTAATAAGAGCTTTGATCTCTAGTTCTGTAATAAATCAACTAATAAGCAAGCACTGCATAACACATATATATATGATAAATATATAAGTAAGAATATATAAAATGCCACCTCTTTAAGGAATAGAAATGAAAGAAATAGTATTTATGGCAATACTTGCACTTTTTTTTTTTTTTTTGCAAAAATGTCTTTTTAATATTTTAGACTTTGTACACCATATGTCTCTCCCTTTTTTTTTGGTCCTGGGGCTTGAACTCAGTGCCTAGGCACTGTCCCTGAGCCTCTCTGTGCTCGAGCCTAGCACTCTACCACTTGAGCCACAGTGGCATTTCTGGCTTTTTCTGTGTATGTGGTACTGAGGAATCGAACCCAGGGCTTCATGCATGCTAGGCAAGCGCTCTTCCACTAAGCCACATTCCCAGCCCAATGGCTACTATTTTAATAGGCTAATTTATAGGTTTATTTGTTTATTTATATAAGTTACAGATGTAGAGAGGACATAGCTAGCTCTACCACTCAAGTGGCTGCCTGGGCTGGCTTTGAACCGCAGTCCTCTTATCTCAGCCTCCTGAGTAGCTATTACAGTCACAGGCCACTAGCACCCTGAAAAGAATTTTAAATTAGGTGATTATAAATTTTTAAATGGTCCATATAGGTCTACAAAGAGAGCTTTAATAAAGAAAAAGGGAGTTAACTTGGTAGAAATAAAGACCAGAGATTTATTAGAAATAAATTAGGACCAAAATGGCATAGAGGACTTTAAAGTATTGGATATTTAGAATAGTAAATTGGAAGTCATTCTAACCATCATGGATTTTTTGTTGTTGTTTTTTTTGTTTTTTGTTTTTTTTTTGGGGGGTCCGGTCTTGGGGCCTGAACTCTGGGCCTGGGCGCTGTCCCTCAGCTCTTCAGCTCAAGGCTAGCGCTCTGCCACTTGAGCCACAGTGCCACTTCCAGCTTTTTTCTTTTTGCTTATGTGGTGCTGAGGAATCGAACCCAGGGTCTCAGGCATGCAAGGCAAGTGCTCTACCACTGAGCCACCTTCCCAGCCCCTCATGGATTTTTTTGAATAGAAAGCTAGTAGGAGCAAGGAAACCTAGTTACCCCCTTTTTTTTTTTTTTCAGTTTGAATTTGCATACTAATTGTGGGAGTAGAAAGGAACGGGAAATTTTACATATTACCTTCGTATCCCTTACAAATATGATAAATGAATTCTAGAGGCATAAATGGTTAGTAAAATTACTTTGTTCTGAGTTTACAAACTTGGGTTAAATACTAGAAAATAGGTGATAGGAAATTACTGGTTACTCCTGGAGCCCATTTATGAATTTATAGTTTCATGAGTCATTACAGTCTACCTCTGGACTTAAGAGGCATGGCTGAGTTGATTGATAAAAATTTTTTTTTTTTTAAAGATCTGTTTACCCGAGGTATTGATATACAAGCTGTGAATGTGGTAATAAACTTTGACTTCCCAAAGCTGGCAGAGACCTATCTTCATCGTATTGGAAGATCAGGTAAGGAAAATGGGATGGTTTTGATGGAAATAATTTCTAAGAACTCTAGTCATCAAATTTTGATTATTTGTGAGATAGAATGTAGTAGATATGAGAAACAAGTGAGTTAATACTAATTCAGTTTGTTATTTAGGGCTAATATTCTGCTATATTACTAACTGGGTTCTGAAGGTTAAGGCTAATCTGAAATACATAACAAGACTCTTTTTAAAAAAGGAAAGAAAAGTAATTACTACTACTTAATTTGAGATGAAATTAGTACCTGAAAACTTTTCATTAGATGGAACTGTTAGTGTTGTGGTAACTTTTGACACAAATTAGCATCCATTTTGTCATTTGAAGAAGAAAAGTCCAACTGTCCCTGGGATGCTCGGGTAGTAGTAGTACCTTTTGTGGGCTTGTTCCAGGGGTCAATCTGGATATTTGTAACCAATTTTCTCTAGCTTGCTTGTAATACTTAATATAGTGTGTTATGTACGTAGTTAAACTGTATTATTTAAAGATTGATTACTAAAAAAAGACTGTTCAGGGCAGTTGCTTTATTTCCCCCTGAAATGCTTCCTTCTGAGTTTAATTAAATCCATACATAAGGAACTTACTTCAGCCACCTGTTCTGTTGTGGACTGGAAAATTTAAAAGAAGTGTCCAAGAAGATCATAAGAAGTGTTTTCTTAGCCGGGCGCTGGTGGCTCACTCCTGTAATCCTGGCTACTCAGGAGGCTGAGATCTGAGGATCGCGGTTCAAAGCCAGCCCAGGCAGGAGAGACCGTGAGACTCCTATCTCCAATAAACCACCAGAAAACCGGAAGTGGCGCTGTAGCTCAAGTGGTAGAGCACTCGCCTTGAGCTGAAGAGCTGAGGGACAGCACCCAGGCCCACAGTTCAAGTCCCACGACCAACAAAAAAAAAAAAGAAGTGTTTTCTTCTATTCAGAATGGCACTCAGAACAGATGTGTTAATCCTGTGTTTTTCTTCAATTAGAGACTTGCACATGTGTGGTTTTCATATTTAATTTAAACCCATTTTAGGTCGCTTTGGTCATCTTGGCTTAGCCATCAACTTGATCACATATGATGATCGCTTCAACCTGAAAAGTATTGAGGAGCAGCTGGGAACTGAAATCAAACCCATCCCAAGCAACATTGACAAGAGCCTGTATGTGGCAGAATACCACAGCGAGCCTGTAGAAGATGAGAAACCCTAACAAGCATGTATGTATATATCTGAAAGGAGTTGAATCTCCAAGTTAAGAAATTAAGATCTTCTTTTCTGGTGTCCTACCATGTACAACAGGCAATATAGGATAAAACACAAATTGACATAAATAAGATTAAGTAGCAAACATCTCTTGAATGAGGCAATAATACAGAGCCACTCTACCAAATATGAAAACTGTTAAGTTACAATAATAGGTCAGGTGGTCAGTATAATTTGGAAATTACCATCCGTCCAATGCAGCTAGATGACACCAGTGGCTCACATCTATAATCCTAACTACTCAGGATGCCGAGATCTGAGTATTACGGTTCAAAGCCAGCCCACACAGGAAATTCCACCCGACTTTTCTCCAATTAACTACCAGAAAACCACAAGTGTGGTACTGTGGCTCAAAAGTGGTAGCGTGCTAATAACCCTGAGCAAAAAGACCTCCGGAAGAGTGCCCAGGCCCCAGGTTCAAGCCCACAATAAAACCTCCCCCTCCCTTAATTGTTTTTCTTTTTTTAGGAAAACATCTAAAAGCCTAAACAGCCTATGTTGCTTAAAGTTGAGATTTGTTAATTGCATTCTAACCACAGCCAAAGGGTCAACAAAGAAGAAAGGAGTTATAGGTGTGTAGCACCTATAATTGCAATACTCACTCCTAAGGGAGACACAGTGGAATCAAAAATTCATAGCCAGCCTCAACCTCAAAAAACTATCTTGTCTCAAAAAACAAGGACTAAGAGTGTTTGTTGCTTAGTGGTAAAATACTTATCTAGTATTTTCAAGGTCATGAGCTCAATTCCCAGCCCCCCCCCCCCCAAAAAAAAATTTCTGGGGTTGTAAGGGATATGAAAGTGGACATCCTCATAACTGTGCTCATGTCTTTATAAATTTCCACTTTAAAACACAGGCAAAGCCAGGCGCCGGTGGCTCAGGCCTCTACTAAGGAGGCTGAGAGCTGATAGCAACATGGACAGGAAAGTCCAGGAGACTCTTATCTCAGTGAAAACCAACAAAAAACTGGAAGTGGTGCTGTGGCTCAAGCGCTAGCCTTGAGCTGAAGAGCTCAGGGACAGTGCCCAGGGCCAGAGTTCAAGCCCCATAACCAACCACAAAAAAAAAACCTGCAGGCAACTGAGTATAAAGGGAAAAAAGTAGAAAACACTTTCATACTGAAAATTGCTCCCCCAAATAGTCTTATTTTGGGAGACCAAATTTGTCTTTAATGCACACCTATTGCATCAAGTAGGAAGAAGGTACATGTATATTAGTATTAATATATTTTATAATGAAATACATAATCCCAGCTACTTGGGATGCTGAAGTTGGCAGGATTCCATTTTAAAGCCAGGCTAGCTAGTTATGATGAGAAGCCTTAAATAATTAAGGTAGAGGGGCTGGGAAGGTGGCTCAGTGGTAGAGCGCTTGCCTTGCATGCTTGAGGCCCTGGGTTTGATTCCTCAGCACCACATAAGCAAAAAGAAAAAAGCCAGAAGTGGTGCTGTAGCTCAAGTGGTAGAGCACTAGCCTTGAGCAGAAAAGCTGAGGGACAGCGCCCAGGCCCAGAGTTCAGGCCCCACGGCCGGACCCCAAAAAATAATAGTAATTAAGGTAGATTGTGGCCCAAGCAAAAAATGAGACCCTACCTCAAAAATAACCATATAAAAGAGCTAGCAGTGTGCTCAGCAGTAGAGTACTTACCTAGCAAAATGTAAGGCCCTGAATTCAAACCCTAGTACCACTGAAAAATAGAACTTTCGAGGTGAACCTAATGACAAGTGTCGGTGAGCCTCCTCATGCTGGAGATTGAGGAAGGAGTAATCCTGGGATCATTGGCAAGACCCTATTGACACTTTTTTTAATTAACTTTTTGTCAGTTGTGGGGCTTGAACTCAGGGCCTGGGCTCTGTCTCCTGTGCTCTTTTGCTCCAGGTAAGTGCACTACCACTTAGAGCCATAGTGTCACTGCCCATTTTCTGGAGTTTAATTAGAGATAGGAGTCCCATAGACTTTTCTACTCTGGCTGCTTTGAACTTTGATCTTCAGATCTCAGCCTCCTGAGTAGCTAGGATTACAGGCATGGGCCACTGGCACCAGGCTCTCATGGAGGCATATGTTTCCCATCCCTGCTACTTAGGAGGCAGACATTTTGAGGGCCAGGAGGCATAGGTAGGAAAAATAAAGCAAAGAAGAGCAGTAAGTGGTGGAGTGCCCTTCTAGGAAGTTCAAACACCACTACCGCCAGAAGTTTCAAATTATTTTTTCTATGTTAAATATCAAGCTTTTTTTCTTTTTCTTTTCTTTTCCTTTTTTTTTTTTTTTTTTGTCAGTCATGGGGCTTGATTTCTTGGCTTGGGCTCTGTCTTCTCAGCTCTTCAGCTCAAGGCTAGTGCTTTACCACTTGAGCCACAGCACCACTTCCGGCTTTTTCTGCTTACGTGGTGCTGAGGAATCAAACCCAGGGCCTCATGCATGCAAGGCAAGCACTCTACCACTGAGCCACCTTCCCAGCCCCAAATACAAACTCTTGAACAAACAAAACTAGTCAGATTTGAGGGAGGGCCTGTCACCAGTACTCAAAGATCTGCCTCAGGGATGCTTAGGAGAAATTCCATCATTGTTACCAGTGGATTCTCTTGGGGAACAAGGGCCAATATTACATTACTAGGGAGAATTGAAAACCTCTGCGTGCAGGCTTTGTGCACACTGGCTTTGTATTGCTGATTGCGGATTTTTTTTATTTGCTTTCTATAGGCATTGACAACAGAAGGCTCCTTTGGATCTGCGACTTAATGCTTTTTGGGTGGGATGCTCTTCTCTTGTGGGTTTTTCATCTTTTATTTTGGAACTATGAAGACTTAAAATACGTTTTTCTTTTTTTTAAACTGGTGAAGAGAAAGAAACTGAAAAGAAGAACTCTACCTTTTTGTTCCACTTGTTTGCACTGTGCCGACTGAACATTAGTTGCACTAACTGCTGGTTTTTAAAAATGTTTCCTGGGGAACGGGGACAAGAAAGGAGGAAAGAAGAGAAAGGGAGAAACCCTAAAAAGAGAAGAATGTTGATGAACACACAAGCTTGTCTACATCTTCAGAATTCTCCAACAGCTGTCTCGAGTGCATTTCAACTTCTCCCTGATTAGTCATCCGTTTTTAAGCCTGAAGAGCTTATTACTTATTTGTGCGAAGTGCCTTATGCTATGAGACCATTCACAATATCATCTTTTAGACACAGCCCAAGGAATCAACAAAGTAATTTTTTTCTTTTTTCTTTTCTTTTTAAAATTTTGTCTGTTCATTTGGTTTCAAGTTATAAAGTGTGTCTCTTCCTGTTCTACTCAAGCCCAGGGCTGGAAGATGAATCTTACTAGTAACGTTAACACCATTTTCTTTTTCTCTATTCGGAGGAGTTGATATGCAACTGCAGTTCATCCGCACTGTAAATACATGTATTTAAAAAAAAAAATCAATCCCAAGTAAAGATTTCTTCTGGGCTGAGTAGATCCATCCTTGCTCCCAAAGGAAAGAGCAGTCTATCATTGCAGGAGCCATATGACAGGCCTTTGTGCTCTACCACAGAACACTAAAGACTGGTTTACATACGTCTCCATTAGCAGTATGGCACTTGATGTGTAGACATGTCAGAGCCTTGACCCTCTTTCCTCTGTGGCAAAGCGTGTCCCATAGAAAATTGGGTGTGTATACTTGTATAAACTTTGTAAATAAGTTTTTTTCTGGGTTCATATATATATATATATATATATACATATATATATATTATTTTTTTTGGATGAAGGTTGCTGGGATTAAGGGGATTCGAGTGATTATGAGAGCAGCTAAAGATGAGAGGGGCTCAGTTTTCTGCAACACTAAATTCTAAAAAGTACTTTGGCCTGTTGCTGTAGAGTGAGTGTCTGTTGTCCCCATGCTAGAAAAGGAGCCCGGATGTCTGGGATGCACTGTTTGCTTGCTGTCACACTGTCTCAGTACATTTAAAATAAGTCTTACCAGAAAGCAAGGAAGCTTCTAATAGCTATGATTCAAGATGATTTTTTTATGAAGGTCTCTGATTTGACCTCTCCTTTTCTAAGAGAGGAACCTTACAAATTCTGCCAAAGGATTCACCTTCCTTGTCGTGCGGGGATTCTGTTGAGTGGCAGTGTCTATGAACAGAGTATTAGAAGGCATGGATTGGAGTTTGAGCTTACTAGCCATTGTCGACTTTGGTAAGGATAGCAGATCGGAGGTTAGTTTTCTGTGGATCATCTCCTATAGTGTATACACATGTGTTGCCCTCTGCCCATCTTGATAGAAAAACTTTTGCAGGAACGGGCAACCCCTGAGAGCTGTTACTCATGCTACAGAAAGCTGCTTGCATCCTCTTGCGTTTTGACAAGAACTGTTGCCTGTCATTTTGCATTGTAAATTGCTGGCAGATACTTTACAGTCAATAGTGTTGCTTTAAATTGTGCCCCTCCCAACATGCTTGATGTTTGGCCTGATCTCCAGGCAAAAGGAGTGAGATGAATCAAAACCAGTGAACTTTTTTTAAAAAAAAAAAAATGTTTTTAATTCCCTTTTAACCCAGTGTACTAGGTCAATCAGGAGGCATCTAGAGAACAAAAAAAAGCAAAAAATAAATTTAAAAAGTTGATTTCCATATTCCCATTGTATTCAGAACCTTATTACAAGAAAATTTCTGCATATGCTTTGTGCTTAATTCATCTGGATAAAGAAATCAGTTATTCAAAGTTGCTTTTTTGACTGCCTAGTTCTAAGCAAAACTTTGTGACTTGCCCAAAATTCCTTGAGGATTAAAATCCTACAGATGCCTCCTGATCACACACAACCCTAACTCCTTAACTGTAGCAAGAGCTGCGCAGTACAAATCCCCCAGAGAGCAAGTTCCTTTCTTTGGAATCCCAAGTCATAGATGCTCTATCAGGTCAGTGTTGGTTATTAAATGCAAACCTAATTGAAGAAATACCTTTTCCAGGGATGGGTGGGGGAGGGGACTTGCAGTGTCACCTTTTGACCAACAATCTTACCTTGAACTGATGCAGCTCTCTGCACCCCCCCTTCCCCCGCCCTCCCACCCCACCCCCCCACCCCCGGCGAGGTAAGAGGGATCATTTATGTAGAACACAAAGGAATATAAATCCATTTTGTATCTCGCCTGGGAGTGTGGGGTGATTAAACAAAAAGTGCAGTCATCTTTGCCACCCTTAGACTGCTCTGCCTGGTGCCACGTACCTGTGGTCCCTCTTAAAGCACAGACTTGAATTGAAAGTATTACTGAAGTGCAGCCTCTGAGAGGAGAGGCACTTGTCTGGGACACCGTGGTTGGAGGCAGCTGCCCAGTTTTGGTACTTGAGTCGAATAGGAACAGCTAAATGGAAAGATGCTCTGAAGACCAGGACCAAGCCTGGTCTTATTTTTTTCTTTCTTTCTTTTTTATCCCTTACAATAAGGAACATTATTTCTATTGGAAATGGTCCTCAGATTCTTTACAGTATTGGGTTTTTGTTTTTTTCTTGAACGTGATGGTTATATATGTTTCCAGTGGTTCATTTGGATGGGAACTATGTTCTGTTTCTAAAAACTACATCCAACCCAGGCTTTCACCCCTGCTCATGCAGCTGTGTGATGGGTTACGGACTGTTACACGCCTGCTGCCTCTGGGCCTGTTTTGTTTTTCACTCCCCTAAGTTCTGAAGGTGAAACTTCTCTTGCCTTTCCTTTCCCGTGGGATAAGTTCATCTTAACATGATTTTCCATGGAAGGAAATGCGGGGAGGAAAACCTGCGTTTATTTTTTGCAGTGGACTCCAGCATCCATAATACAGGGTTGATCCAAAGGGTGGGGGGGGGGGGGTTGCGGGCATCATACTTGCTTTCAGAATGAGATGGGAGCATCTTTCCTCTGCCGCTGGCTTTGTGCTTGATGCCGTTGTGCTGGCCTAGAGCAGGACAACTCAGCACAAAGCTTTGGGCACACGCTATTGAAACCAAAACATCTCATTCTGAATACTTGGTTTAATTTTTTTTTTTTCTTTTTTTTAATGGGGTGGGAGGGAGGGTACTGCAACCCACAGGGAGGGTGTGTGCACTAAGGATTTGGAAACACTTGGGAAGCTCAGAACCTCATCAGAAACTGCCTTTAGCCACACTCCTGACCTTCTAGATGAGTAACAGGTTACATGAGTTATTGGGAATTAAGCCATGTTTTAATTCGCTACATTTTTCACCTTTCATGGATCTTTAAAATTGTGGAATTATTTTTCTCACCAAAATACTTCGTTAAGCAGAATTATTGGCCTCACAGGAACTGAAGTAAATCAGCTTTTTGGTGAACTTAAGTAGACTGGTGAGTTTAATAGTTCTGCTTTATATTCATAGATAATTTTTTTAAGCTCCCAAAGAAAATCAACTTCTCTCTGATGTGGAAGCTCATCTTGGGAGTAAAGAGTCAGTGTCCAAAGGCTGTGACAGTCGATGAGGCCAGAGAGAGCCTGGCGCCTGCCTCTGCCCTCCGCAGCTGACGCATTGCAGCAGAAGTGTGCTGAAATTCTCCAGTGGACAGCGCTGGGCAGGGCAGGGGTGGGGGGAGGGCTGGGCAATGGAGATACAGCCTGCTGTATTTTAACCAGTGGTTGTTGGGAAGGGGTCCTTGGATAAAACAAAATTGCTTCCCTTTTTTGGAATAAACTTGAAAAATGTAATTTTTGTTCAGCAAAAATGGGAGAAAATCCTAATGTCCCTAGCCACAAGGGACCAGTTCTACCGGGGAGGGAGCCGCGGGAACCCAAAATTTTGAAACCATTTCGGGGAAAGGGAAAATTGGCTTTGTGTTAATTGGCAATTGTTCCAGTGGGTCTCTGTTTTCATTGGGATGTGTTATGTTTTATGTACACGTAATATGGACCAGAGTCTATAAGGTTCAAAAAAGATGGCTGGTAAAATCTTGATTTTTTTTTTTTTTTCAATCTCAATAAAAGCCCACTGGAACTCCACAAGGTGTGTGTGTTGTATGTCCCTCCAGCAGGTTGTGTATGGAATTCGGATGGTGAAGTGAGACCTTTTTCAACCATACTTGAGCTCTGGGCTCCTTATCTAGCCCATGCTTATCCCTAGCAAGATTCTCAGGAGGGAGAGACTTGTTGAACCAGAACATATGGAGACATTCTCCAGCACCACCTCCCACAATTGTTCTCCAGTACAAGTCTAAACACATGAACTGCTTAGTGCGTCACAAAACACGAGAAAGAAAGAAACAGACCTCAAGCTGGATGTGGAGTTGGAGTTCAGCAGTAGAGTGCTTACCTAGCAAGCAGTGGGCCCCACAGTTCAATCTCCACCAAAAACAATTTGACTTAGAAGAATACCAATGCTTAAAGCTCTAGGTAGCCGGGCACCCGTGGCTCATGCCTGTAATCCTAGTTACTTAGGAGGCTGAAATCGGCATCACAGTTCAAAGCCAGCTCAGGCAAGATAGTCCGTGAGACTCATCTCCAATAAACCACTAGAAAACCAGAAGTGGCTCAAGCAGTAGAGCACTCACCTTGAGCTGAAGAGCGCAAAGACAGTGCCCAGGCCCAGAGTTCAAGCCCCGTGAGCGGCCCAAAGAAAAAAAGCTCTAGCTGCCACCCTATGCTCCTTTCCAAGGAAAGGTTTAAGATAAAATAGACAAAAAAAATAGATACAATATGCTGAAAACAAATACACTGATGAGAGATCAGATGCCATGTTAATAGGTTAAGAGATGTGCTTTACATTTAATTTAGGTAGCCAAAAGTTGATTCTAAGCCTGAATGGGACAGGAAATTAAGCTATGAGGCCCTATTACCTGATTTGAAGACACTAAGGTACAATGAAGAGCCGGGTGCTGGTGCCTCATGCCTGGAATGCTAGCTACTCAGGAGGCTGAGATCTGAGGATTGCCATCCAAAGCCAGCCCTGGCAGGAAAGTCTGAGATCTCCAGTAAACCACTAGAAAAGTGACAACTAGCTCAAGGAGTAGAGCACTAGCCTTAAGCTGAAGAGCTGAGGGACAGCGCCCAGGCCCAGAGTTCAAGCCCTATGACTGACAGAAAAAAAAATACAATGATATTGATGACTAGGTGATGAACAGAACAACTTCCAAGTAGCTGTTCACAGTTGATTGGGGATGAGGCGGGGTAGGACCTTGCTATGGAGCTCACACTGGGCTCAACTTGCAGTAACTGCTCGGATTGCACACATACGTGCCAGCAAGCCCAGCCACAACTCATTTGGTTTTTATGCTGCTTCTGGGGCTTGAACTCCAGGCCAAGGTGCTATCTAGTCTTTTATTCTGCTCAAGGCTGGTGCGTTACCACTTAAGCCACGGGTATGTTCCTGACCCTTTAGTGGCTAACTGGAGATTGTCTGACTGGCTTTCCTGCTGCGATGGCTTTGAGCTGTGAGCCTCAGCTCTCAGTCTCCGTAGTAACTAGGAATACAGGCCTGAGCCACCAGTACCCAGCTCACAACTCACTTGTCACGATGCAAAAGTAGAGAAAGAATAGTCCAACACTAATAAACTGGGCTCGGCAATATAGACATCCACATTGTCCAATCAATCATTGGGCTGGAGGGGGATGGTGGCTATGGGGTACACGTTCTAGATTCCATCCCCAGCATCACCATTCTTGTTGTTGACTTCTGTACTTTGCCTCTTATGGAAAAATGCGACATAGATCATGGAAAGCCAGGTGTGATGACGTGCTTGTAGTCCCAGAGTCGGTGGAGGCTGACGTGGCAGGATCCCTTGAACCTAGGAGTTTGGAACCAGGTGGGGCAGATAATAAGACCTGCCCCCATTGCGCACGTGCACCCAAACAAGCCTGCGTGAGCACACACACGTTGTAGGGAAAAAGTAATCTGACACTTTGGACTCAGCTGAAAGCTGAATGTGCGGTGTGAGAGCGCTGAGCAATGGGGACGCTTATTCAGTGAGATGTGGAGAATCTAGAAGTGCCTGAAAGTTTGGTTCCAGTAAAGTTCAGAATTTAAGGAGATTGTCCAAGACTTGCAGAAAACCTGCCTCCAAATTCAGGAGACTGAAATCCACTCCCTCTGAAGTCCTGTGTGGGCCCAACATCACCCTTAGCAAAGGAGAATGGAGACAGAGGAGACAGATACCTAGATCCTGAGTTGCATTCCCACTCTGGCAATTTACTGAGAGGCTAGAGTGAGTGCCTGCCGTCTACCTCCAAGAGTGTTCTCAGTGTCAGAAATGCTTCCTCCTGCTGGCTGTCGAGAAGCTTCTGATGGTAGAGGGTCACCTGGCAAGGAACTTAGTGGAATCCCCGCCTGTTAGCCAGCAGGCTAGGAACTCTGCTCCTAATCCTGTGGCCACAGGAGATAAATTCTGGCAACGGTCTGAGGGGGCTTGAGAGTGAGTCTCCCCAGTAAAGCTGCTCATGCGACCACAGCCCGGGTGGGTGTCAGCAGCCTCATGCAACCCACAAACAGGGAACCCAGGTAAGTTGTGCTGGAATTTCAGGCCTATAAATAGGTGATGTGTTGTGCGTGCTAACTCTGCTATAAATCATTGTACAGCAGCAGAGAAGTAACACATGAGCCCAGAAGAGTGATTTGCATGCCGGCAATCCTTAGTGACTCAGAAGGCTGGAAGCCAGAGGATTGTTTGAGGCTAGCCCAGGAAAGTTCATGAGCTGGCCCAGGAAGAAAAGTTCATGAGATTCATCTCCAAAACAAGCAGCAAAAAAGCAGGGCTGGACGGGCCAGGAAGGTGGCTCAGTGGTAGAGTGCTTGCCGAGCATGCATGAAATCCTGGGTTCGATTCCTCAGCACCACATAAACAGAAAAGGCCAGAAGGGGTGCTGTGGCTCAAGTGGTAGAATGCTAAGAAGCTAGGGACAGCACCCAGGCCCTGAGTTCAAGCCCTAGGACTGGCAAAAAAAAAAAAAAGGAAAAAGAGGGAAGGGAGAAGGAGGAAGGAGGAGAGAGGAGGAAGGGAAAACCAGGGAAAGAATTGTGAGCTCAAGGTCAGCCTGGGTCACAGAGTCTAAGGCCATCCTGGACCACATAGCAAGAAAAAGCCAGGCGCTGGGGGCTCACACCTGTAATCCTAGCTACTTAGGGGGCTGAGATCTGAGGATTTGGGTTCCAAACCAGCCTGGGCAGGAAAGTCTGTGAAACTCATCTCTGATTAACCACCCAAAAGCCAGAAGTGGAGTGGTGGCTCAAGTAGTAGTGCACCAACCTTGAGAGAAAAAAAGCTAAACAATAGTGCCCAGGCCAAGTTCAAACCCCAGGGCTGGCACAAAAACAAATAGGGACATGGCCAGGGCATCTCTCTAGTCTGGAATAAAACAGCCACTGCCCTTCACTGAGACATAATGGCCTAAAATACGCCATTAGCGACTCCTGGCAGCCTTGGAAGGGCTGTGTCTTTCCCCACTTGGCAAATGTGGAAACTGAGGCTCCAAGAAGTTCCAGGGCTGAACGGAGAGCCTGCATTCCTGAGCCTCTCACTGAGGTCGGTTTGGGCTTCAGGGGTCCAAGGCCAGAGCTGCGGGAGCAAGCCAGGTGGCTGAACTCGGGCCCTGCAAGCAGTCCTGAGCCAGGGGGTTGACGGCCTCGCTAGCGGTGGGAGCCCGCAGTCTCACCTGCGTTCCAATTGTCTCTCCACGCAGGTGTGCCGTTAATTCTAAGATGATGAACGTGTGCGGCTCCCTTCCCCGAGGCGCCTGCCAGCTCCACCGGGCAGGGGGCAGCCACCTGAGCCCTCCCTTTGTCAAAGGGCCCAGCCACCCAGCCGGAAGGACTGGTGTCTTCTCAAGCTTTCAAATGACTTTACAACCAGCTACGTAGAACATTGAGTGCAAGGGCTCTCAACCGCATTCGATCACTGCATGCACACTTGTTATGGGTCATGGAACTGAACAGAGCCGGCACCCCAGGACTAGGCATGCACAGCCCTATGCACAGGGAGCTACTGCCATGAAACCCAGCACCTTCTCAGTCCCTGGTGATGGATGTTTGGATCTGAGCGCAGGGAGTCAAGCTCTTTGTTGCCACGCGCTCTTTCTTCCCTCTGAGCTGGGTTGAAGCTAAACGGAGCCAGCGGAATGCTAAACAGTACTAGGAGGACACTGGAAGCTGGCTAGAAATGACATGGGAATGAAGGAAATGTTCTAACCGAAGGGAACAGTAGCCACTCATCAGGCGATCTGGATTTCCTTCAGCGGTGGCTGACGCGCATCTGAAAAGCAGTGCCTTCAACAACAGCAGGCTCAGTCCAAGGCTTCAGACTCAAGCCACAGAAGGCCCGGTCCCTTCCTCCCTCCCCGCCCTGCCATGGGACGCATCTGGGTCTCAGGCTCCCCATTTATGGCCACCTGGTTGCAAAGTAGCTTCTGCAGCTCCAAAGATTTCATCCGTGTTCCAAGCAGGAAGAGTGGGGAGGGGGGGAAAGGTGAAGGACACAGAGCGAAAGGGGCTGAGCCTCCTCTTCTAAGGAACTTTCCCGGCACTCATTCCCGGGGACTCCGCTTCCAGAATCCCAGGCCCCAGTGTAACCAGTCAGCTCAGGGCTGGTCAAGGCTGCAGCCGGGAGAGTCCAGGAGCGTGGCCTGCTGGCGGCAGTGCCCTGTGCCCTGTTCCCATGGGGGAGACAGGAAGCCGCAGTGGTGAGGGTGAGAATGAGAGCCGGCAGGCAGGCGAGGTGGGCAGAGGCGGCAGCTGCCACAGCGGCTCAAAGCCAGGCCCCTCTGCAGCCTGCGCGCCCGGGGCTGCAAAAACCGCTGCTCTGTGCAGAAATGCAGACGGGGCACAGACTGTGTGTGTGTGTGTGTGTGTGTGTGTGTGTGTGTGTGTGTGTGTGTGTATGTGTGTGTGTGTGTGTGTGTGTGTGGCCACCTCGCTTGCATCTTTCAGTTGGGGTTACTTTCTTTCCCCTTGATCCGCAGGTGGCTGTGCGTTTGTGGAGCTGCGTGGGAGTGGGGGCTGGCTGCAGCGGAGCCTTCCTGGCGTTGCTCCTCCAGATGTTGGCTGAGTGGAGGCCGCTGCCCTGGGTGTGGGGGAGGGGAGGGGCAGGGCTGGGGACCAGCCCCAGGGGGGCTGCCCTCTTCCATGGCTCACCCCTGCACTCCTACAGCTCTTCTACGCCACCCTCCTCCCAGCCCTGCCCTTTGCCCTCTGGGGGTCTCTCCTGCCCAAGGACCAGCACAGAGCAAGAGCCAGACGCCCAGGAGGCTCCAGCCAGCGGCCCAGCTGCTTCTGCCAGCAAGTGGGCGGCAACCCTGTGAGACTCTTGTAAATGAAGGCTCCACCTCCGTGGGCCTGTGACCACGTTTCCTTGAAAAGTTGGCATCAATGCCCAGAACTATAATCCTGGGAGACCCCTCTCCCCAGGCTGGAGGACGTGCAGGGTGAGGGGCAGGCGGGACAGTGCGGGGAGGGACTCACACCGCGTCATTGGGGTCTGCAGGGCGGTGGAGGTGGATGCGCTCCCAGGGCTGCCGGGCCTGCCCCCGGCCCTGCTAGGGAGCAGCGCAGCGGGGCTGGCTGAGCTCCCGCTTGGCCCTCCAGGCTCCGTGGGCTGGTGGGGAAGACTGGGAGCCCCGCAGGCAGGTTCCGTGCCGGCCACTTCCAGGCCAAGGAGGAGACCAAGGAGTTTTGTGGTCCTGGGCAGCGTTGGGCAAAGCACCGGCCTCTCCGAGCCTCGGCTGAAGCGAGGCCTCCGCACTGCGCCGCGCCGGGCTTGCCACCTTTGGCACGGTTATGAGCAGACAGAGGCTGGAGCTGGGACAGGAGCGCCCCGAGGAGCAGGGCCCGAGGCCCGGAGCGCAGAGCCAGCGCTGTCATTGTCGGGGAGTGGACGGGGCCGCTCGCTTGGGAGCGGGGTGGCTACCTGGAGCGGGTGAGGCCTTAGAAGCAGAAGCTCTCCTGACCTGGGAATTCTTTCTAGAAGGTCCTTCAGGACCCAGGGGCAGAGCCCCGCCCACTGAGACCAGAGGTAATGTCCCCCAGGGAACGACTCCCAGGCCACCAAGTACAGGAACCTGCGGGCCCAGCGCATGGCCGCCATGCAGGCCGTCCTCTGGCAGGAGCAGAAAGGAGCCTGGTTCGACTATGACTTAGAAAATGGCAGGAACAACTTGGAGTTTTACCCATCCAACCTCACCCCGCTCTGGGCCGGCTGCTTCTCTGACTCCAGCATCCCAGACAAGGCTCTGAAATACCTGGAGGTGAGGGGACCAGGGAGGGGGAGGAGGGGCAGCTCTGGGGCCCTGCCGCAGCACTGGCTCTGCTGACTGAGCACAGACCTGCAGGGCAGCCATTCCCTCCTCTCTGAGCCTAGCTCAGCCTGTAGTTCCCACCGCGACCAGATGGGGGCAGCTGGGAGCCAAGAAGACAAGGGCCAGAAAGGGCACAGCGAGCCGCCTTCCTCCTGAGGAAGCATCCTGGCTTACTCACTCAAGGAAATATCTGGAACCTTCTAGGACAGCCAAATCCTGACCTACCAGCATGGGATCCCGACCTCCCTCCTCAACACAGGCCAGCAGTGGGACTTCCCCAATGGCTGGGCCCCCCTCCAGTACCTGGTCATCACAGGTAGGCAGGCAGGCAGGCAGGCAGGCAGGCAGGGGGCATCTGCCAGGACCTGGCCCCACGGAGGACGGGCCAAGCTGGGCTTCTGGGTGCTGTGGACTAGAGATGCAGGCCTCCATCCTTCCCCTGCCTCCTGGGCTGCTCTGGCCCTGCTCAGCACACATGTCCAGCCCCTGTCCCTTCTTTCTACCCCGAGGTATGGCCTGAGGGTCCAGAAAGGAGGCCTGGGGGCAAACAAGTCCCCCGGCCACTGCTCTGCTGGGATGGAGGCTCTGGAGACTCAGGTCCTGCCTTGCCTGGGGCCCTAGGCTTGACCAAGTCAGTCTCCCCTCGGACCCAAGAAGTGGCTTTCCAGCTGGCCCAGCACTGGATCAGAACCAACTTTGACGTCTACTCCCAAAAGTCAGCCATGTATGAGAAGGTGAGCTGGCGCTGGGCGTCCCTCTGTCCCCGGAGACCTCCTCCATTAGAGGAGGCCAGGGTGTCAGGCTTCTCCTGGACCAGGGCGGCCCAGCCAGGATGGTGGTGACACCCAGTGGCCATTCCTGGGAACTGCAGGGACCATTGCTGCAGGCCAGAGGAGCTGGGCTGACTGACCTGCTGGGGTGGGTGGGTGGCTTGGGGACCAGGGCCTGATCTACCACCGTCCCTTGTCCCCAGTATGGAGGACAGGTGGCGTCAGAGGCCCTGAGGAGGAGCTACAATAACCCCCAAAAGGGCCCAGGCGCCCTGCCTCCTCTCCCCACTGTCCTGCCTGTCTCTAGGAGGGGTTTGGCTGGACCAGTGGCATGGCCCTGATGCTCCTGGACTGCTAGGTGCTGGTAGATTGATCACACCTAAAATCCTTGCTATCCAGGAGTCAGAGAGCTGGAGGATCCAAGATTTATCTGCCCATATTGGTTCACTGGTAAATTCTTCCAAATCTTTAAGGAAACCATTATACCAATTCTATACCATCTCCTCCACAAGAGGCTCTCTCTCCTTGTTAGGAAGTCCATATGACTCTAATGCCAAAACCAGACAAAATTTCCAAGAGAACAACAGACCAACATCTCTCATAAATCAACAGTTAAACATTTTTGAGCTAACACAGTTATAGCAAGAGTACAGGACACAAAGTTAATATACAAAAGTCAACTGTTTTCCAGTCTACTACAGGCCTAGCTAAAGCACTTCTCTTCAGAGATTCATGGACAGGACTCTGATAAGGCCATTTTCTCTCTGGTCATTTAAGCTCCTACCCTGGACAGGCTACTTCATCATATGACTAACCCAACAGCACACAAAACAAGAGTTAACTAAATACAAGGTTTTCATGCTAAAGTAGCCAATACTAGAATTAAGATATAAAATTGGAGGGCTGGGAATGTGGCTTGGTAGAGTGCTGGCCTAGCATGCATGAAGCTCTGGGTTTGATTCCTCAGTAGCACATAAACAGAAAAGGCCAGAAATGGCGCTGTGGCTCAAGTGGTAGAGTGCTAGCCTTGAGCAAAACAAGCTTAGGGAAGTGCCCAGGCCGAGTCCAAGCCCCAGGAGTAGGTGGGGAAAAGGTATGTCATTGGAGTTCAATTCCCTGTGATACCTACTTAATAAATGCTGCTGTCCCCTGACTGCAGCTGGGCGCAGGATGGGATGGGGTAGGACAGAAATACTTCCTTAAACGAAACCTGCAAAAAGTTGTCCCGCCCTGCTGAGTCCTAATGCTTCCCTCATACAAGCTGTGCACTCAGTGATTCAGCATGGGGAGAGAACCAGATCCAGACTAAGAAAAGCAATACGTGGAGAGCCAGTTCTAAAGGCACGGAGATAACTTCTCACCAGTGTTTACTTTGTCAAACCTGCAATTCTGCTAAGGACAAAGCCTCGGCGACACAGGTAGAAGTTGATTTAATCACACCTTCAGTGTTGTGTTTTCTAGTGACCTGGTGTTACTGTGGAGGTATGGCTGGTGCTGAAATGTAATGAAAATGTTACTCAGCTGTGCGTCTCCCTGTGAGGCATGAATGGTCCGTTTCTTACTGATACAGATGTGTAATGAATGGGATGTGTTGTACAACAATGCACAGTGGTTATCAGCCAAAGCCGCCTGGCTTGTCTCAATCAAAGGTATTTCTCGGGCTGGGAAGATGGCTCAGTGGTAGAGCATTTGCCTTGCATACCTGAGGCCCTGGGTTCAATTCCTCAGCACCACATAAGCAAAAAAAAAAAAAAGAAAGAAAGCCGGAAGTGGCGCTGGGCTCAAGTGGTAGAGCGCTAGCCTTGAGCTGAAGAGCTGAGGGACAATGCCCAGGCCCAGAGTTCAAGCCCCATGACCGGACCAAAACAAAGGTATTTCTCAACCGAGAGCTGGTGGCTCATGCCTGTCATCCTAACTACTCAGGAGGCTGAGATCTGAGGGTCAGAGTTCAAAGCCAGCCAGGGCCAGAATGTCCCTGAGACTCTTCAATGAACCACCAGAAAACGGGAAGTAGTGCTGTTGCTCAAGTGGTAGCGCGCTAGCCTTGAGCTGAAGAGCTGAGGGACAGCGCCCAGGCCCAGAGTTCAGGCCCCACCACTGGACCCAAAAAAAAAAGAAGAAGAGAATCAGGAACCATGAAGGAAGCGACAGAAAAGCAGAAATGTACAGAGAAACCAAACCAACAGAAAAGAATAATATCATCATCATCATCATCATTATAGTAAGCAGAAATCCAAGCTCTCCAGACTCTTTTTCAGCCAGGGAAAGCCCACACACCCTCACATCTTCAACCCCAGCTGGGAGGTGTGGGAGGCCGCCCGCACTCCCGCGTGGCCGCTCAGCGCGTGGAGCGAGGCGCAGCGCCGCTTCCCTCACCGTGGACGCGGAGCAGATGCCACCTTGAGGGGTGCCGGTTGCTGGAGACCGAATGGCTCTCAGGCCTCGGCCACCGCCCGAGTACTTACACGCTTTGCCACAGGCTTGGAAGATGTGCAGCAGGGCTGTGGAACCGCACTGGCAGCCCAGATGCCAGGGGTGGAGGCCCGAGGTGCCAAGTGAAAGCTGGGCGGTGGGGGGCAGGGGGGGCCGGGGCTCACACGTGCGGCCGCTCCGGCGTCCACAGAGCAGAGCAGCGGCGCCCACGATGCCCAGCAGAGGCTCCACGGGAGACAGCTGCGCCCTGCGGGGAGGAGGCCCAGCCCCGCCCGTCCTGACCTGGATGAGGCCTGTTGCCTGAGCCAGGGCCTCGGGAAAGCCGTGGGCCAGGCCTGCTGCCCGGCTGATGGCCAGTGGGATGAGCTTCTCCAAGCACATGACACCTCCTGCACCCTCACAGGTGGTGTCTCTATATACAGATATGTGTGTGGCATATTGTGAGTGACGTCACCTGTATAGACATATTTATACAAGATGTACTATGTATTATGTAAATATATATTTGTAAATATTATATATTTATATATATTTATTTATATATCATATAAATAATGATATGTTATATGCATATACATGTATATTTGTATTTCTATGTTGCATGCATATACATACTTTATATAATGTATATTTATACATCAATGTGCATATATTCATAAATATATGTGTGTATATGTATATTGTATATTTGTATGTATAGCTATCACCTGTATACACATTTATATGTAAAATATATTTATATAGTGTGTAAATGTATGTTATATATTTATAAATATATATGTACATAAACATACAACAGAGATTACATATATAGTATACTTAGATGTTATACATATACAGAGCTATACAAGTATAATTAAGCATAATTAGTGTGACTCGTCATCATTACAGATTGTCGCAAGGTCAAGGTTGTGGTTTATCAACCGCGAGAAGCTTCCTCACCTGAGTATAGCAGAGCTGTGCACGCAGTGTCTTCAGCATTGGAGGTCTGGCTAAGGAGCACCCCTCCCACCTAGTAACAAGAAAACAGGGCCCAGCCCCAGTCACTCCCAGGCTCCGTGTGACCTCAGAGAATCCCCAACGGAAAGGACCCCACGGAAAAACCCGGATCCCGATCCGGATCTGTAACTCACAGCAAGAAAAGAACAACACAACACTCACCAAGAAGCCAGCAACATGCCTCCGCCTTCAAAAGCCAACAATCCCAAATGAAGAACTTGAGTGAGAGGAAAGAGGAGGAAACTCAAGGCAACGAATTCAAAACTAGACAAATGGCCCATGAAACGGGGAGTGGCTAAGCAGCGGAGTGAATTCAAAGATGATACAAACAACTAACTGAGCTCAAAGAGAATTCCAGCACCTGAATGGAATGAAGGCCAAGGCCGTGCATGCGTGCGTGCGTGCGTGCGTGCGTGCGTGCGTGGTGGGAAAGGGGAATTCCATAAAGGTGCAGGCATCTTGAAACACAATCCAACTGAAGTCTTGGAAATGAAGAGCTCAATAGCCCAAATACTTGCTGGTAGGTGTCACTGGAAATGTTTAATGTATTAAATCCAAGGAGGTTCCTCCCCACTAAATGTGCTCCTGTACTCTCCCCGTAAGAAGCCACAATGATGTCCCGTGCGGTGGCTCACACCTTTAACCCTGGCTACTCAGGGAGCCTGACATCTGAAGATCATTGGAAGCCAGCCTGAGCAGGCAAGTCCATGAGCCTTTTCTCTCCAGTTAACCACCCAAAAACCACAAGTAGAGCTGTGACTCAAGTGGTAGAGTGCCAGCCTTGAATGAAAAAGCTAAGGGAGAGTGCCCAGGCCCTGAATTCAAGTCCCAGTGCTGCTTATTGTTTAAAAAAGGAAGAAAAGAAAAAAGTTATCTCTTCAAATCAAGCCATCCTGTACTGAGCCATGGTCCTTAATCACAGCCTATGACCAGCTTGTACCCGAATACTGTTCAACTATCTTATCTGAACTTTGAATTATCTTACTGTGATTAGTTAGGTTCACAGAGACTACTATTAATACATGCACTTCAGCCAGGCACTGGTGGCTCAAACTTGTAATCCTAGCTATTCAGAAGGCTAAGATCTGAATCAGATCAAAGTTCAAAACCATCCAGGGCAGAAAAGTCTGTGAGACTCCATCTCCAATTAACTGGTAAAGAAATTTAAAAAACAGACAAAAAATCCATAAGCTAGAACAGAAGTGTGATTAAAGTAGTAGAGTAGTAGAGCACCAGCCAGGAGCAAGAAAGCTGAACAAGGGGCTGGAAAGGTGGCTCAGTGGTAGAGCGCTTGCCTTGCATGCTCGAGGCCCTGGGTTCGATTCCTCAGCACCACATAAGCAAAAAGAAAAAAGCCGGAAGTGGCGCTGTGGCTCCAGTGGTAGAGTGCTAGCCTTGAGCTGAAGAGCTGAGGGACAGCGCCCAGGCCCAGAGTTCAGGCCCCACAACCGGACCCAAAAAAAAAAAAAAAAGAAAGCTGAACAAAAGCATGAGGTCCTGAGTTCAAAAAAAGCCATGTACTTCAGTTTCTTGAGACTGCCTCCTGTACCCGCACTACAGACCCGCAACTGCTACTCCTCAGGTCCCCGGGTGCCCACGCAGCCACCGCCTGTTGTGCTGAAATGAGAATCCTCTGTTCCACCTCTCAAAATGTGGCTTCTCTGTATCTCATGATTGAATTCCCATATACCGGTGTGAATTGTGAGTTCCACACCGAGACTGAACAATTAAGTCCATTACAGCAGCAGATGTCAGTCTCTTGAAGCTGAGGCTGGGAGCTTCGTCTCCACCATTGCCCACGGTCACCCAACTTGATGAGTAAAGGAGGCAACTTAACTTGAGGATTCATTTTCCTGACAAGTGGTCAAGTATCAGCCAATCACGAGCTCAGACATGTCCAAAATAAGGAACATGCCCAGGGGGAAC